TGGCTGCCCTCAAATTCTCTCAGTGTGTCTTTCCTGGAGACACTCTACTCTTGCTTCTAATGGCTTTGACTTCACTTTTCACTACTCTTAATTTTCACCAGGAAAATCTACAGAAACGACCGGACTTTTAGAGAGACCAGTAGCGAAGTAGGACCTGGGCATCCAGGTTTCGGTACTGTGTGAAGCGTGTGCCTGGTTAAGACTCTGCCAAATCAGGATCAATCCAGATGTGAGTCTGGACCTCACCCAGGAAGCTGGGCAGCAACTGGGCCTGCACAGAGAATCCTTTAGGGTGGCATGCGAGAGACCAGGCCTGGATATAGAAAGAGTCACAGATAGCTGGAGAACTCCCAGGTCACGCCTACCAAAAGCTTTGAAAAAATGGAATTACTTGAATAAATAGCTTCCAGAAAGCCAAGGCCAACATTTTGGTGCTTCTCCAAGGTCAAACCATTAGGAAGAGAGACCATGTGACAAAACATTTAAGCTGTGCATAAACCGTCTTCCTGCACAAAAAAATTAACATGTGAAAGGTGACTCACATATGGAAAGAGTAAAAAGAAGGAGTTGATGGTCTGAAATTGATTCAGCAGTGAAGAGTTCTAACAGAAAAAAGTTACGTTAGCAGCAATCAGAGTTCGGCAGGGATTTCCTGCTAGGATGATTTTTTTGCTCTTTTGGGTACTTGTGGCCTTGAGTCTCCCTTTCAAGGGAACATGAATTAAAGCTAGTTGGAAAGGTAGTACCCTGACTTTAATTAAGTCTGTTCCTTTAATCTTTAAGATAGCAATGCTCTGAGAAGATTCATTTGCCATTGATATCAAGACCAGAAGAGGAAAGAGAGGGGGGAAAAAAGATGAAAGAAAAGAAAGAGGGAAAAAAAAGAAGAGGAAGAGGAGAAAGGGAAAAGACTGGAAACTGTAGACTGAGGAGAGTCCTTTGACAAGAATTTTGGAGCCAGGCGCTAAGTACCTCCACTGTGATCTCATTACCCCCATTCTTCCCCTGAATTTCTCAGAGGACTAAGTTATTTTGGAACCTTTTGAAATATATCTTAAAATTAGTTATTAGGAAAAGATGCTGTGAAAAGCATCATCTTCATGATCTCATCGAGAAGTGGATGTGAGACTGGATGTAATATCCTCGATAGAAAATGCAGGAGAGGGGCACCTGGGTGGCTCAGGGGGTTACACTGAAAAAAAAGAAAAAAAAAAGAAAAAAGAAGTCACAACTAATTGAACATTACAGAAATATTTGAATATTCTGAAAGCATAAAAATTTTTATAAAAAATTAAAAACCTGCGGAAATTCCACCAAGTTCGAGAGTTTGTTAAAAACACATTCTCCTGCCAATAATTTGCTCTAAGAGTCATGGTTCACATGTGGTTCCAGACCTTGTATACAAAAAAAGCAATCCAGTCAACTCCTTTGTAAATCTAACATTTATAAATAAAAAGATCTTTAGGGGCACCTGGCGGGCTCATTCAGAAGTACATGCGACTGTTAATCTTGGAGTCATGAGTTCAAGCCCCACATGGGATGTACAGATTACTTAAATAAATAAAACTTTAAAAATAAAAGATTAAAAAAAAAAAAGCCACACAAGTCGGAAAGAAACAGGAGCCAGCTTAAGGAAACACTCAATGACCAAGTCTGTGACAAAGTGAAAACTAAAATAATTAAATTAATAGAATGTAAATTATTAAAAACATAAAATTCAAAGGGTCATGCTGATAATAAACAGAACGACTGATCAAGAAGGGAGGTCTCTTGCCCACAGTCAAGGGTTAACTGGAAAAAGCACTGGGCAGGGTGTCTGGGTGGCACAGCCAGCATCCTACTCTTGATTTTGGTTGGGGTCATGATTTTAGGGTCCTGTGACAAGAGTCCCAAGTCAGGCTGCATGCTCAGCGGAGAATCTTCGAGAGAGCCTCTCTCCCTCTACCCCTCCCACTCATGCTCTCCCTCTCTCTTTCAAATAAATAAATCTTTTTGAAAAAAGGTGGGGGAAGAAGCACTGGGATTAGAAATCATTGCTTTGTATCCATTTTGGCAAAAACTGGGTCAGACAAGAATCACGGTTACCAAATCTAGGGGGAAATTTTGATGAGAAGCAAAATATTTGCAATGTCTTCAGTGCATCTCTACAGACCGCTTTTTAGTTGCAAAGGAAGAAAAGATAAACAGAATACAATGGAGAAACTGGGTAACATCTTGATCAGTGATAAAAATTAATATCATCTATGAGAGACAGGTGGATATTAGGTTCCTCCAGACATGATACCTGGAGAGGGACAGGTCACCTAAACAGCATTCTGGCTCAGAATGCTTAACTTCAACCTAATTACAGAGAAGCATTAGGCAAACACAAAACAAGGGCCATTCTTATAAAACAAACACTGAGAGCTGGGTTATTTCCTCAAAAATATCAATGTTTTTATTTATTTATTTATTTATTTATTTGTCAGAGAGAACACAAGTAGGCAGAGCGGCAGGCAGAGGCAGAAAGAGAAGCAGGCTCCCCACTGAGCAAGGAGCCCGATGTGGGACTCGATCCCAGGACCCTGGGATCATGACCTGAGCCGAAGGCAGCGGCTTAACCAACTGAGCCACCCAGGCGTCCCTCAATGTTATTTTTTTTTTTTTAAGATTTATTTGAAAGAGACACAGCAAGACAGGGAACCCAGCAGAGGGAGTGGGAGAGAGAGAAGCAGCCTCCCCAAGGAGCAGGGAGCCTGATGCAGCTTGATGCGGGGCTCAATCCCAGGACCCTGGTGTCATAACCTGAGCTGAAGGCAGACGCTTAACAACTGAGCCACCCAGGCGTCCCAAATATCAATGTTATAAAAAAGGCCAAAAAAAAAGTCTACAATTTTTTAAACTTTACAGTCCTTTTAAACTTAAACAGTCCTTTTAAAGTGTTCCAGTTTAAAGGAGGCTAAAGAGACTTGGCATTAAAGACTAATTCCTGTATTAAATGAGGTATGATGTTATTAAGGACATTATCAGATCAAGTGATGACACTGGAATATAAACAGTAAATTTATAGTAAACTATAAAAATATAGTACCAATATAAGCTTATGAAGTTGGTAAGTTTGCTGGGGTTTGGGCGCCTGGGTGGCTCAGTTGGCTGGAGGACTGCCTTTGGCTCGGGTCATGATCCTGGAGTCCCAGGACCGAGTCCCACATCAGGCTCCCTGCTTGGCTGGGAATCTGCTTCTCCAGCTGACCTCTCTCCTCTCGTGCTCTCTGGCTCTCTCTCTCTCTTATTCTCTCTCTCAAATAAATTAATAAAATCTTAAAAAAAAAAGAAGTTTGCTGGGGTTTTAGGTTCAGTGCAGTAAGAGGAGGTGGCAGTGGTAGGAGGGGCCCAAAGGGTAAGATGTTAACAAGTGCATCTGGGTAAAGAGTATACAGCTTTTCTCAGTATCATTTTTATTTTGCAACTTTCTGTAAGTTCTAAATTATCCACCACCACCACCACCCCGCCAAAAAAGGTAATTTTTAAAAAGCCAGTCAAAGCATGCTCTGGACCCTATCTCCAACAGGTATTCCCATTTCTCTCATCTTCCTTTCTAAAGCAATCCGCTAAGCTCAGACACATCTTTAAGTGCAAAAAAACAAAACAAAACTACTCTCGACGCCCAGCCACTCTGGACCTACTACAATGATGAAGTTCTAGAACATAGGTGAGGTTCGGTGGGGTGAGGTCCGGAGCTGATGACCAAGAAAGAATTCTTGAGACATCTTTGGTGCAAAATGGTGGTTTATTAAATAAAGCACGGGGACAGGACCCATGGGCAGGAAGAGCTGCTGCCCCGGGGATGTGAGGAGTGGTCTATTATATACTTGTAAGTTGGGAGGGGGTTAGGGATGGCGTAAGTCTCTAAGGAATTTTGGAAGCAAGGTTTCTAGGACCTTGAGGGGCTAGCTATTGTCTGGGGAAAAGGTTATTCATTACCAGTAATAAAACCTTCTCATGAGACCCTTTAGATGTATATCTGTGGTCCATAGGCTTAGGAATGTTTGTCGACACTATCTTGGAGGTTTAGAGATAAAGTTTCCAAAGGAATTGTTCAAGTAGACTTACAGGATCCTGGTTGGGGGTAGGGGTCAGTCAGGCTAGGATTGTCCTTTGCCCTTAGCAAAGCCTCAAGATGAGGGTAGTTGAGTCCCTACAGGAGGGTCACTCTGCCTGTTTCAAGGGCTTGTTAGTAGGTAAGGAAATCTAATAAGTTTCTTCTGCCTCTGTTTCCCACATCAACAAGACTTCTCTACTACTCCAGTAGTAGTACTCCAGTACTGGCCTCTGCCCTCATTGCTCTTGCTAAATCAGTAAACACATCGAGTCGCCAACTCCAACAGATAAATATTCAGTTACTACCCACCTGTGTTGACCACAGCCTCTTCCTTGAGAGAATCGGCTTCTCCTCACTTTTGATCAGACACCCCTGATTTTCCTCCTGCCCCTCCATCCCTCTAAATCTTCTGCCACTTCCTAACTCTCTCTTGGACTTCTTGCGATTAACGTTCTTAAGATTTTCAGTCCACTCTGTCTCACTAGGTGGTCTCTCATCCACCCCGTGGTCTCAAAAACCATCTACATGCCAAAGACTCCCAAATTTCTTTCTCCAGCCCACAGCTTTATCTGAATTCTGTATTCACACAGCCTGAGTGCCCGACATCGCTGATTCAAAGGTCTCCCCACCCCGTCTTTCCATTTCAGTGAGTGCCACTTCTGTTCATCTAAATCAGAAAATCCCCACCATTAGCTGGCTGTTGACATTACAAGCAAGATTTTTCTTTATGGTTTTCAATGGTTTAAAACTTCCCTACAATAAACATATGTACTTATGAATGCATTAAAGAACTTAAACCTCTTTCCTTGAAACAGAACAAAACGAAGATGTGCTTTATCTATTTTTTTAACTTTAACTATTTTTGTTCTTAATTTTCGCTTTATGAATGTCTAAAAATGAATTTTAAGTTTCGTATTACCGGAAGCATGTGGATTTACTGAAGACATCGCGAAATCAGCTTCAATCTAGAAAAGAAGAAAGAATGGTACATGTAATTTCATCAAATGTTTTCACAGTGCAAGTTCTTAATTCCTCAGGTGTGGGGAAAGATTGTATTTTATGAGAAACCAACTGTCTTGACTTCAGCAGACAAGTAATGTCGCAGGACAGCTGCACAGTCATTTTATTCTTCCGTCTCTATCTAGGGTAGGGGGAGGGTGAAACAGGTGATGGGGATTAAGGAGGGCATTTGTTTTGTGATGAGCACCGAGTGTTGTATGGAACTGTTGAATACTACATTGTACACCTGAAACTAATATTACATTGTGTTAACTCACTGGGATCTAAATAAAAACTAAAAAAAAAAAAAGTGGTATTGAAGCAAAAAATATCCCTGTATCTATAAGATACAATATGCTAATCTGCTACAGACTCTAAAGGCCCCCAAACTGTTCCATTGACCCAAACAGTTGAAGCATATATAATCAATTATATATAACATAATCATATGCTGTCACATATGCCGCATAACCTAAAAGGTAATCTTTCTATTTCAGACAAATACAAGTGATTATTGCAATGAGCTCAATGGCTTTATTTTTGAACTTTTTTCCTGATTATGAAAGTAACATGATGTAGAAAACATGAAAAATATAAAAAATTCATGAAGAACATCTTTAAAAACAGTCACCCAGTAAGAACTCCTATTAATATTTTGGCCTAGTTGGCATTTTTCCCCCCTATGGCTTTTTAAACATATTTCAGAACACACCCTCTATACGGTTTGGGAAACTGCTTTCACTATATATTAAAATACAAGCATTTTCCTATATGGTTACAGGGCCTAACAAACACTATGGAATTAGAACCTTGGCAACACCTGACACAGTTTCTCTACTTTGGATTTCATGTCCTGCACTTTCCAGGTTCCTTTTGCCCCTGACTGGGGGTTCCTGTTGCCCTCTTCTTCATGGAGCCCCTGTTTCCCCTGAGATGTTGGTACCCACCAGTGGTATACTCTCTCAGTACATGCTGCATACTGTCCTCAGGCAACGCCACTCAGTCTCTTGCTCTGAGCTCACCTGTAAACAGAGGCGTCCTGAATCTGTCTCCGGCCCTTACCTCTCAATTCCTCACCTGGTTCCAGATTCCTGCATTTACAAGGGGCAGCATAATCTGAGAGCAGATCGTTACCACCAGCACACTGTTCACTGAGTGACTTCACTTGGAATGTCCACAGCCTCTTCAGACTTAATGTGCCTCACACTGAACTCACTGGCTTTCCCCCAAGCCTGCTCCTCAGTTTCCCTACTTGGCGGTATTTACTATTGCTGCAGGCCTGGTTTCACACCCCTCTCTTATGGCCAACCACATCTAATCACCAGGGCATAACATCTCCCAACACCACAAAGTGCTTCTGGATACTTCGTTAGGCGAGCTAGCTCTTCTAGTCTAAGTGATGCCTAAACTCCTACTTTCCACTAGAATTAGATAACCCTTTTCCTTGTCCCCTACGCTTGGGTTCTTCCTATTCTTCTCTATTTTAGTATTTATCACAGAGTTTTATAAGTCTCTCTACACTAAATTAAGAACTGCTTCGCAGTAGGGGCTGTATACTATTCATCTTTATATCACTAGCAACTAGCAAGTGTTCATTTTATTACAAGGGAACACTTCATAAATTTCATTGTGTAAACCATTGCATGAGTGTTTAAATGATTTATTACATGTCGTGCACTCAGTAAATATTTCATCTGCTAAAAAGCAATATTCAAAAATAAAATCCCAGGGGTGCCTGGCTGGTTCAGTTGATGGAGCACGCAGCTCTTGGTCTTGCAGTTGTGAGTTCAAGCCCCATGTTGGATACAGAGATTAATTAAAAATAAAAACTTTAAAAATAAATAAAACCCCAAACCTCAACCTAGTATAAAAGTAAATATCTGTTACATTTCACAGAGGGTATACAGTGTCATTTATTTAACACAGGTTCACATACAAATGATTGACAGGTTTACAGATGATTTGCTTTTACTTTACTGTTTAGTGATCTGCAGTCAGATAATTCAAGGGGCACCTGGGTGGCTGGCTCAGTGGGTTAAAGCCTCTGCCTTCAGCTCAGGTCATGATCTCAGGTCCCGGGATCGAGTCCCACATCGGGTTCTCTGCTCAGCGGGGAGCCTGCTTCCCCCTCTCTCTCTGCCTGCCTCTCTGCCTACTTGTGATCTCTCTCTCTCTCTCTCTCTCTCTCTGCCAAATAAATAAATAAAATCTTTTAAAAAAATGAAATCCAAAACCTCAGCCAGGTATGAGAATAAAAGTAAAAATCTGTTAAATCTCGTGGACTGTACAGTGTCTTACCCCATCCCTGTACTTGTCATTCAGTTCCTCAGTTGTATTCTAAAATTAAAGCCAATTAAGTAGATTCAGGGATGATAAAAGCAGAATGAAATGAGCTATCCTTCCAGCTGGACACAGGTTAAATACAATGCTTCAGAGGCCGGATTCATTTAGCTGACTTTAGAATTCTAGCTGAAATGAGTGCAGGTGAATATAAGAGCCACAGTTACTGGGAGTCCACCCTATTTCTCCGCGCTCCACACAGCATCTCAGTACCAAGCATTTGCTAGGAGGTGAACCACTTTGAGCCCACCTGGTCCATTCATGGGACATATGTGTGGCAACAGAACTTATTTGCCGTGAAGTTGTGATACATTTAAGCATAATGAGGGACGGAGAAGTGAGACATCAAATGGTTCCTGGCTTTGCTGGGCATGAGGAATAGCAGCAACCAAGCTGGTTTAAGGAGAGAACAAGGGAGGGCATTCCAGGCAGAGCCTTCCATTTGATGGCTGCAATTGAATTTCTTAAAGCTGGATGAGATCTTGTCTCTGATTAATTCCAGTTCAGCATCTTAACAAGAGGGATCCATTTCTAGAATCAACGTAACAAGGGGAGCAGGAAATCTGTCCTCCTAAAACAAGCCGCTCCTTGAAGCTCAGCTTGACCCTCCTTATTAGTGACTTAGTGCAAACTCTTCTGAAGAATAATATCCAACAAAATTTCAAATGTACCTAGCAATTGTACTTCCAGGAATTTATTCCACAGATAAATATCCACAAGTATAGATATACATATAAAAGGATGCTCAACACAACATTGTTTGTAGGAATGAAAATTAATGGAGGTAATCTAAATGACCGAAGACAGAAAACTAGCTAAAGAGAATACTATGCAAACCACTTTCTAAAACATGGTCATGTGTGCTTTTATGATCATTGTTAAGTGAAAAAAAGCAAAATAAAATAGGTACACTATGTACCCACTTATGTGTTTAATAGAATGCTAGGCATGTTTGTTATACATAGGAAATTCTGGAATGACACACACAAAAGATTATTAATAATGGTAACCCCTGAGGAGTGGGACTCTTTGGTAGCAAAGGAAGGGATTTTACATTCAACTTTATACTTTTTCCAGACTGTCTGAATTTTTTGCCTGTGGAAATGTATTAGTTTTATAATTTAAATGAATTCCTGTTACCAATACCCACCTCCCAGCCTTCCCTCTTGGCACCTCCTTAGCATCTTGCATTTATCATAAGCCCGGTGGTGAGAAAGGCTTCATGAACTCTAATTCATCCCTGAGTTAGGTTCTTAGAAAGAGTAAAATTCACGGGATGCCTGGGTTGTCTCAGTAGGTTAAGCTGCTGCCTTCAGCTCAGGTCATGACCTCTGGGTCTTGGGATCGAGCAAAGAGCCTGCTTCTCTCTCTCTCTCTCTCTTCCTGCCTCTCTGCCTACTTGTGATCTTTCTCTGCCAAATAAATAAATAAAATCTTAAAAAAAAAATTCAGCACTGGGCACATCTTTGAAATCGCTCTGAGAGACAGTGATTTTAAACATCCTAAACTAGACACTGCGCTTGACTTAAAATCCACCCACTCTTTTATTGTCTGCCCCATTCCCAAAAAGATGAAGAAAGCTCTACCTTGGAGGGCTTGTACCCAAACAGCATTAAGACAGCAACTTTAAAGTCCTCTCTGCTTAGGAAGCCTTTGTTATCTTCATCGCATGCTTTAAATACCTAAAGAACATTAAATAGCTTCATTTAGACCGAAACCGTTGGTTCTATTACTTTTATTATTCGTTTATATTAAATTTAGACCTCCAAAATCCAAAACTTAGCTGAGCAGGAGGGCTCGGAATTGGGAGTTGCATTAACCTAATTTTATTTCTCAAGAATTCTTCATGTGCTAAAACTTACCGCCACCACCCCCGAAATGCGCAAACGACTTAATCGTTAGACTGACGCAAATTAATTCCTTTAAACCACTGGGATAAATTCTACCCAAAATTCCGTCCTAGAATTAGGAAGGTGAGACAGATAAAAGGTTAGATAGAGATTATTATTAATAAACTATGGAGCGGGTTAAAGAAGGGACTTGGAAGTTGCCAGAACACCGGACAGAGAGCGAGAAGCCGTGCAGCCCTCGGCTCAGTCATTAACCACGGGCCTTTGGAAGGACAGCGCAGTCCTCGCCAGTGCAACAGAGCTGGGAGAGACCCGGGAGGGTGACAGAACAGGAGCCCTAAGTGAAGTTCGAGTCCGAGAATCAGCCCTCCGGACACCTACTTTCACCCATTTCTTGTGTTCTGAGGGGCTGGCTTCCCACGTCCATGGCCGGGCCCCAGCCTCGGAGAAAAACATCGCGACCATCACAACCGAAAGGAACTGCAGAACCCAACACCTGCGCGGCCAGAACCCGGTTGCCTCTGAGTGCCTCCCTGCAACTAAGGAAGCTGAACTTGGCCGGGCAACTCCAACGTCTTCTCCAATTGGACGGCCTGCTAGCCACTGGCGTTGATCCCGCGGTTCTATTGGCCAGAGGCTTTAGGCCCGTTTCCTTGAAACAGCCTATGGCGGAGAGGCTTCTGGGCTCGCCCCCAGCTTTGCCGCGCTCATTCCTTTAACTCCTTGCGCACCGCTGGTATACACCTCGCCTAGGTCCTGCTTCACTGTCTCTTGCAAGGTTCCTCCCATTTTCCTGCCCCCACACCTTGCGGTAAGTTACTTTGTTAATTTTTATCTATGACGCTATGCTAAACATAGGAAACATAAAACGTGTGAACTAAGCATTCAAAGAACCAAAGAGCCAAGTCTAGGATTCACGTGCATATCGGCAAGTCAAGTCATTGGGGTCCAGCCCTCCAGGGTAGTTACTATGGTCTGTTTTGTCCTCCCCATATCCCTGCAACGAAGCAGATGCTCAGTAAAGTCCTTAGGACTTTTATGATGTGGGAAAGCCAGAAGGAAATGTAAATAAAATTAAATGTTCTTATAACCTGCAGCCCACTGACAATTACTTGATACAGGCATAGTATAACGTTCCTCTAGGAAGCTCCCAAACTGTCTTACTGTTAATGCCTTGTTAGAGTGAAAAACAACCTTAGCTTGACAATAGCAAGTCCTACTTTATCCCTTGAGTCTTCTTTAGCAAATGAAAGTCCTTTTGGAAACTTCCTTGTCTTTACCCCCCTTGGTGTTGTCCCCCAACACCAAGGTATATACTCAGTTGCTCCTCACAATACCGGGGCAGCAGCTCTTCCTGCCGCCAGGTCCTGTTCCCGCGCTTTAATAAAACCGCCTTTTTTTTTTTTTTTTTTTAAGATTTTATTTACTTATTTGACGGAGAGATCACAAGCAGGCAGAGAGGCAGGCAGAGAGAGAGAAGGAAGCAGGCTCCCTGCTGAGCAGAGAGCCCCAGGCGGGGCTCGATCCCAGGACGCTGAGATCGTGACCTGAGCCGAAGGCAGTGACTTAACCCACTGAGCCACCCAGGTGCCCCAATACCTCATTTTTGCACGGAAAGCATCTAAGAATTCTTCCTAGGCCGTCGGTTTCAGACACCCCCCCCCCAAAACACTACTCCAAAAAAATCACATCAGTTCACACCAGGCTGGTTCACCAAGTCCTCTGGGAGAGGTGCCTAGTTTGAAAGAAACTCTGAGAATAAATGTTATAAACATTATTAAAGCCGAGGAATATGGAGAGGTTTCCGTTTTGCAAGAGTTTATTTCAGACCTTTCTTTCTTCTGGCAAACCAGTAAGATTAAAAACACAACGTTTCGGGGCGCCTGGGTGGCTCATTGGGTTAAATCCTCTGCCTTCAGCTCGGGTCATGATCCCAGGGTCCTGGGATCGAGCCCCACATCCGGCTCTCCGCTTGGTGGGGAGTCTGCTTCCCACCCCCCTCTCTCTGCCTGCCTCTCTGCCTACTTGTGATCTCTCTCTCTGTCAAATAAATAAAATCTTAAAAAAAAAAAACCCACAACGTTTCAAAGAAGAAACAGGTATTCGCGTTTGAGTGTGATGGGAGATCATTTATCCTTTTATTCTACAGCAGGTTTTACAACTTTGCACCCCCAGCGAGCTCGCTCCTCCAGGATAAAGGTCGCAAACCACAGGGGCCTGGAACCTCCGCTAATCCTCTCTCTGCCTTTAAGTAACTACCCCCTGCCCCGAGCTCCGGGAGGCTGAAAGTATCTAAGAGAATCCTTGCAAAGCGGATGAGTTTTGCCCATTAACTAAGGGAGGAGAGAGAGAACACTTGATTTCTCTCTCCCCCTTTTAGCAGAAGCGATCAGGCGGTGAGTCGAGAGCTGGGAGCGGGCGGGACCTCCCTTCCATACATTCATGCTGGAGCCCTCAGCAGCCCCTCAGGACCCGGCGATCTTTAGGACCCAGCGGCGGGCGTTCCGGAAAGGGAAGGGGCAGGGCCAAGGGGGTGGAGAATGCGAGCCCGGGCCGGAAGGGTTTAAACCGCGCGCAGGCGCGGGCGGCGGAAAAGAGGGCGCGAACCTGTGGGTTGCTGTAATTTCAGGAGCGAGTTCGGCTGTAGCCCCCCTCTGGAAGTGTCAGGTTCGTGGCCGGCGGTTGCGGGACCCTGGCCGGGGAAAGCTTGCTCCTTCCGGTCTGGGCCTCGCGGGTCCCGCGAATTCTGAGGCCGGGTGGAACTGGAGGTGATGGAATCCGAGGGAAGCAGGGTATCTGGTAAAGACCCTGGGGAAGGTCCCCTTCTGGGCCTCGGCTTTCTCTGTCTTAGAACCTGTCGGGCGCGAGTGGCAGGCGTCGCAGAGAGCCGAGGGCGGCGGGGGGCGTGGGTGCGAGGGTTCCCCGCGCTCCGTTCGTACTCCGGTTTCCCCACGGGGTAGGTGGGCTGTGTCGCCCGCCAGGGATGCTGGCGCGCGTCGGGCGCCTACCCTGTGCCAGGCACTGAACCTTTCTGGGCCGGGTTGCCCCGTTCTCGGAGCCAGTCATTCGCGGGACTTTGTATAGACTTGGTGCGAGCGTGAACGGAGTTTCCTCCCCGCAGAGCGCTTCGAAGGGGGCTGGACCTGGGGTCAGAACCCAAAAGGGGTAGCCGCTGTCATTGCTTCCTCCACGTACCTGGAATCGGCCCGCTTCGGTCTGACCTCACCGCCTCACGACGGGTTCGTCTCCCTCCAAACCGTTCTCATGGAGTTAGGGAACATAATATTTGAGAAAAGTAAATCGGGGCCACTGTATTCCGCCCTACCTTGTTAAAGCCTTCCGGGCTGCTTCCCCCTACCCCGCACTTCTTAGGCTGAAATCCAGGATCTTTAACACGTACCTTACTCCTTCCCACTCCCTTCATCCTGAACTACTGTGTTTCTTGCCCAAATTCCTCTTTGTAATCCAGGAGTTATTACAGCTTTGTTCCCGCCTCCTGGTCTTGGCAGGCTGGGTTCCCTCTACTTGGAATACCACCGTTTATTCGGCTGGTTCTTTTTCATGCTCCAGAACTCACTTAAATGTTTCTTATTCAAAGAATCGTCCAAAGGACGTTCCTGTTACTCTCATACAGCTGTAAAATGCAACCAGTGTCTGGAAGGATTGGTTTTTCTGTTGGTGTTGATCTGGTTTTTTCCCCCCTGAAATACAAGCACTCCGGGGACAGAAACCGTTTCTATATTAACTCCTTATCCCCAGTGCTAGGCACATAGTAGTTGCTCAATAAGTACCTGTTAGCGTGAGTGCTTGGAGATAAGGATGATAAACACATTTTACGGAGGAGAAAACTGTCTTCACAGTGAAGTAACCTGCCCAACTGCCCATTTACCACCTACTAATGATTGAGTTTGAAATTGGGGGTCCATGTTTACCCACAAGTGGCCACACAGGGCCTCTGTCCTTCTGGTGGTCTGCACACTCTACAAGGAGCCGCTGGAATGTGGAAAAGATCTGCCCAGTTGGGTCTGATGTGGTGAGGGGAGAGGGGCAGCTAGCATCTTTAAGAGGAGTACCTATTTGCATCACAAAAATGCTTTTCAGACACTGTAAGAAACTCTAGTGGTCCAAGCTGGCATTTGGTGGGAGAATTTCTTTAGATTTTCATCCTCCTTGGCAATACAGTTTACGGTGGTTTGCCAAATTTCAGTCATTTGCTTGTCTCCTTCATGGCTTTTGTCTAACTGTTAATACCTATACCATTGTTTACTTGATGTTTTTATTTGAGTCCACTTTTACATAAACTTAAATGTAAAATGTAAATGTAAAGTGTACATACAGACACTTAAAACTTTTTGTCATAAATAATATGGAGCCTTAAGATCCTTTGATGGTTTAAAAAAGTGTTACTGGTGCCTGCAGAAGAGCCCAGTTTCTTGACGTATCTCCAACCCAACTGTCTCCTTAGTGTAAACGGATTGGAAAGGAAAAGGATGGTATTACGTGATATTAATGTTTGGTCCCAGTCACCTCCACTTCGGAAAACACTGCAGATTGCTCAGAACTGGCCCATCTGTATTGTGATTGTCTAATTTCAGTGTCACTGTTCACTCAAAATGGAATGTAAAACCTGTAGTGACCCAGGTGTTGCCCAGGGAAGACAAACAATGGAAGGAAATGCTCCTGAGTTCCATCTTTAACACTTGATTGCAAAAGCACTCTGCAAATGCCTGCAGGGCAGAGAAGTAAAATTCTAATACTGGAACCAGGGAGCCCTCCACAGGAAGTCTGTTCCTGATCTTGGCATTTCAACCGCACTCCTCTTAATCAGGCTAACCTCCCTGATACCATAAAGAGCTTGGTTACCTGCTGGATGTAATGACGATTTTTTTCTTTCAAAAGTATTTTGCCTTTAATTTGTAAATAACTCAGCATATTTAAGTGTGAGCAAATCCAAAACCTAAAGTATGTCTACATCAGACAAGCATTTTTCCCCCCCTCGAGGAAAGGTCTTTTTCAAAAGAGGGGTTTTTTTTGTTTTTTGGGGGGTTTTTTTGAGATTTTATTTATTTATTTGACAGAGAGAGATCACAAGTAGGCAGAGAGGCAGGCAGAGAAAGAGGAAGGGAAGCAGGCTCGCTGCTTCGCAGAGAGCCCGATGAGGGGCTTGATCCCAGGACCCTGGGATCATGACCTGAGCCGAAGGCAGAGTCTTTAACCCACTGAGCCACCCAGGTGCCCCCAAAAGATTTTTTACCTACTTGTCCCACTTTGGATGGAATGAATGGTCTTTCTCCTCCTTCCCATGCATTTGTGGTTCTAGAAAATACAGATAAATAAAACTTGAAAACTTTGGAATTACTCTAAATAGCTGAGTTGCTGAAGAGGAATATCTTCCCTACAGAGTTTTCAGGACTTTTAAAACTACACTTTATTTAGCTGTAATTCATCTGGGAGAACAATGATGATAGCCTCTAAGGCGTCTGCACACAGCTTTTCTTAGGCTGGAAGCTGAACCCTTTCCACCCAAAAATTAGGCTTCAGAATGAGGAAGGAATCTAGAAAGAACAGCCTGGGGATTCTTCATTGAAGATTCTGTTACTGAGTGCCTGGCTTTCCTACTATTTGAGAATGCACTGAAAGCTAGAGCTAACGGTTTTTTCTAAGGTCAGTTCTATTGTAATAACTTTTTGAAGTCACAAAACTGTAGCCACCAAAATCATTCCTTCAAAGTTCCTTTAATTCACAAAGTGAATTGTGATGGCTTAAATACTTCTTGCCAGCAGCCTCCAGGAGTCTAGAACATGAGAGGAACATAAGTTGAAAAAAGAAAAGCTTAAAAAACCTGAACTGTTCAAATGTTAAGTACTAAGTCTGTCTAAATATTTCATGAAAACCTAGCTCTTGCATCCTGTAAACGATAATACAGTCCTAACAAGCTTTGTTATCTGGTTTCTTAACCCTTAGCAGATTAGAAACAAATTAGGGGAAAAGCCTACTGAGTTCTAACAACTCTTAGATGTGGACTGGACAAAACACTTGGAAAGAAAAAGAGCTAGGGCCACTAGTACAGGAGCAAGAGCCCCTGTACATCTCTGTAGTCCCTAAGGCTTCATAAAACAGTATCCATGCCAGGCGAGATTAATAGGGACACTGAGCCAAGAACAGGTCAAATTATTGTCTAAATGCATTCAGCTTAAACACCTGAAATAGGTCATTTACAGGAGAAACTTGATCTAACTTGATTGGTCATGAATTTAGAAAGTGAGATATTGTGAAACATTAATAGATACCTTAAGTTTTTTAACTTGACCAGCAACTGGCTGGCTCACTCAGTAGAGTACGCAGCATTTGATCAGTTACTTAAAATAAAAACTTTCTAGCTTAAAACTTGAAAGTATATTCATTTGCAAATATTTTGGTATGGAATCAAGCCTATTTTTTTGCGGTGGGGAGGGAAGAGATGGGGGGTGTCCTGTGAACAGAGTGCTATGGTCCATCTTGGTATACCTAACTTGTAATGTGTCGTCTGTTTCTTTAAAAGAATATAACTTTAACTACAATTTGAGCACAGACTCTTGGGTTAAACAGTTTTTCTCTGGGTCTTGTACAAAAAATTTTTTGAATCACAGTAAGAAACTTAGCTATCTGGAAAATATACTTAGGCCCTTACACTTGAATTGGTGAGCTTTCGTACGTAAAATCAAAAGTACTTCATCTAGTTCAAGTAGCAATTTGATTCTGGTTTAGAAAACGTGTTTTGCTTCAGTGCAAGTTCTCTGCAGGTTTTAGTATGATTTAAGACAGGGCCTATAATTTAGTTGGGTCCTCATGGCAGCAATTCTAGATAATGTATATACAGAATTGAGCATTTGACACTATCTTGAGGATTTTAAGCTTTACAGTAAGTAGCTTATCTTTGAAGTAAGAATCGCTGAAGTCCTATGGGGTCTCATGCTTGGGTGAAGGGTAGATTTGTAAACTTCAATTTGACCTCAAAAATTTGAGTGATTATAATTCTTGAAATTCCTTAAATTACCTTAAAAACCCCAAGCACCTGTTAGAAAATTCAGGGTCAAGAATGAATATTTTTATGTTGGAGTTTAGCCCCAGCTCTTTCCTCAGGCCTCTAAGAACAAGGTCTGGGTTGAACGAGGAGAAGGTAACTAGGATTTTGGCTGTCACTTTATTTCCCGATTTCCTGTAGCAAATTCTGGGATCCTGCTTCTGAACACCTGCAGAGCAGCTCATGTTCCTTACGTGGCTCAGCATCTGGTGAGCGCCAGGTGTGCTGTATGTGTTGTAGAAACTCACACTGACAGGGAATTTGAGAGCAACTGTTTGCCAATGGCCAGAGAATGGAAATAATATTTGTCTTTCATTTCCAGAAGTATGTCTCAGGAAGGTGATTATGGGAAGTGGACGATATCCAGTAGTGATGAAAGTGAGGAGGAAAAACCAAAACTAGACAAGCCATCTACTTCTTCCCTCCCCCGTGCTGGGCAGGGAGCAGCAAATGAACCAAGATACACCTGTTCTGAGGCTAGGAAAGCGGCGCATAAAAGGAAATTATCACCTGTGAAGTTCAGCAACACAGATTCACAAGTTTCACCTCCCAAAAGGCAGAAGAGCGGTTCCCAGGAAGACCTCGGCTGGTGTCTCTCCAGCAGCGACGATGAGCTGCAGCCGGGAACACAGCAGAAGCAGGCTGAGAACATGGTGGTCAAAGAGGAGAGTGGCATCTCTTCTCCCCAAGACGGTGCTGCCCAAAGAACTGCAAATCACAGCCCTCCTGCCCTCCATGGACTAAAAGAGGAAGAAGAGGACTATGAAACCTCAGGGGAAGGCCAAGACATTTGGGACATGTTGGAAAAAGGGAACCCCTTCCGATTTTACCTCACTAGAGTCTCGGGAATTAAGCCTAAGTATAACTCCGGAGCCCTCCACATCAAGGGTAAGTGGGTGCTGCATGCCCGGGAGCTGTCAAGTGGCACTTGAGAGAGTCCCCTTGACACAACAAGGAGGGTGACCTAGAATGACCTCTGAGAACCCTTTGCAGTCTTTTAATTACCCTCAGGAAAACTACCAGTTAGACAAGCAAATGCATTAGTTTGACAGCAAGCTGTTCACTTAGGGAATCAAGTAAGTGTTTCTCAGTCCTGTAGATCTACCAGTTGGAATGCTTAAATGATTGTCAACATCGTGCTAACTTTTTTTTTTTTTTAAGATTTTATTTATTTATTTGACAGACAGAGATCACAAGTAGGCAGAGAGGCAGGCAGAGAAAGGAGGAAGCAGGCTCCCCGCCGAGCAGAGAGCCCGATGCGGGGCTCGATCCCAAGACCCTGGGATCATGACCCGGGCCGAAGGCAGAGGCTTTAACCCACTGAGCCACCCAGGCACCCCCATTGTGCTAACTTTTAAAGCGTAAACTTATTAATAACACTTGAATGAAATAGCAAATATCTGACAGCAGTAGAATCACTTAAAACTTGTTAATGCAAATTTGGGGCTCCACCCAGGTTCACCGAATCAAACTCTGGGAGCAGGGCCCTGCAGTATGTTCTAAGAAGCTTCTGGGGATTCTGATGAGGGAGCAGAAGGCTAGCTGAGGAAAAGCAAGAAGCTGACATCCCACAAACCAGCCCCCGCCCTGATGGGATATGTGACATTCCTCAGGCACTCCTGGCTGCCCTAAAGGAAAAACAAATAGTTAACTTATGGAGATTATAATCCTACAAGACCTATGAGTCTCCCTCAGTTTACAAGCCTTAGCAGTTTACAAGAACAAAACATTTCTATCCATGGCCTACCTTCCAGAAGGGAATGTAGATACAATTAAATGTCCTTATAATCTGCAACCCATTGACAGATACTTGAAGTGGGCAAAATGTAAGGGTCCTCCAGAAAGCTCCCAGCTGTCTTATTGCTAATGCCTTACTGGAAGAAAAACCAACCTTAACTTGGAAATGGCAAGGCCTCCTGTATCCTGTGAGTCTTCTTTAACATTCAAAAATCCTTTGAAACCTCCCTTTTCCTTACCTCCCCCAATTCCCAGGTATATAAACAGCCACACCTGACAAACGTGGGGCAGCTTTTTCTGCCCACTGGTCCTGTCCCTGTGCTTTAGTAAAACTACCTTTTTGCACCATAGACATCTTAAGAATTCTTTCTTGGCGATTGGCTCTGGACCTCACCCCACCCAACTTCACTTATATGCTAAAACCCCATCACTTATGTCCGGTCGGGTTTGAGAACCACTGTTTGGAAGCCAGATTTCAGTTCTGGTGAAGAAACAGAAAACACCAGCATGCAAATAGATATTTCAGTTCTGAATCAAAAGATAGTCTTCGGTTCCTTTGGTTATTCCCCAGGGTGCAGCTGTGTGGTAGCGTGTTTTGTCTTCATTCTTGGTTGGTTTTTGTCCCAGGCTCCTGTAAGAGCTCTGAAGTAATGAAGGTCAAAAGAATATCTTCTGGGGCGCCTGTGTGGCTCAGTTGGTTAAGCATCTGCCTTGGGCTCAGGTCATGGGATCAATCCCCATGTCGGGCTCCCTGCTCATCAGGGAGGCTGATTCTACCTCTCTCTCTCTCTCAAATGAATGACTAAAATCTTTAAAAACAAAAACAAACAAAAACTTCTGTTCAGAAAAAGTCCCTTTCAGTCACACCTGGGTTTAATGAAGTGGCTTTTGGAAAGCCCTTGAGGATGAAGGAGTCATTGCCAAGGGGACCCAGTTGTGTCATTAAAGTTGGAAGTCTCAGCCCCACCTGCAGGGAGGGGGAAAGAGATCTGAGGTTGTTAATCATTAGTGGCCAGTGATTTAATGGCCTTTGTAATGAAGTCTCATTTTAAAAACCCTAAGGGGTTTGGAGAGCTTTTAGGTTGGTGAACACAGGGCGGTGTATACCCCTTTCCCCATACTTGTTCTTTGCATCTCTCCAATCTGGCTGTTCCCGAGTTGTATCCTCTTATATTAATAAACTGGTAATCTAGTAAGTCAAGTGCTTTCCTGAGTTCTGTGAGGCATTCTAGCAAATTTTCAAACCCGGACAGGGGCAAAATAGGAAATATCATCAAGAAACTGCAATATACTCCTTTTGTGTACCTCTCATAAAGGTAGGCGCTTGGGCGCCTGGGTGGCTCAGTCCGTTGGGCATCTGCCTTCAGCTCAGGTCATGATCCCAGGGTTGTGGGATTGAGTCCTGCGTCGGGCTCAGCAGGTTGCCTGCTTTTTTTTTTGCTCTCCCCTTGGTCCTCCCCACAGCTCATACTTGTGTGTGCACAAGTGCTGTCAAATTTATATTTAAAAAAAAAAAAAAAAAAGGACAGGAGCTTCCTTAAGGCGGTGACTTTTAAAATTTTTGTACCCTACCATGTAGCTCAAAATCTGGAAGAAGCACTCAGTAAGCATGGGTCAAATAAAGGAGCCTACTCTTAATCTCGGGCAGTTTGATGGTTGTGAGCACATGTGCTGAAGCCAGATAGGCTGGCTTCAGATCTTGACTATCCCTTCCTAGCTGTCCAGCCATGGGTGACCTCCGAAGGGGAGACCCCTCATCTGCAAAGTGGGAATGAGCAACTCCAGCTCAGAGAATGGCTATGAGATGGAAGAGTGAGCGCAGGGACAGTGATAAGAACAGTGCCTAGCGCCTAATAGGTACGAGTCCAGCAGTTATGATCAGTGGTGGTAATCCTGTAATTCCTCTCCTGGTACAGTTGGAGAAGTGAGCTTTCTGATCTTACTTGAAATCAAGTTGGGGTGGGTGTGAGGTGCAGCCCCCTTCAAGATGACCTGGAATGCTAGAAACGTGAATTTGGGGTTGTGAGTGCCTCTGCCCTCCTTCACAGGAAGCGGGGACTCTCAGGCTCCAGAAGACAGTCGTGCTAGTACTGGATTGGAGAGGTTTCTTGGAGGACACTTGAAGGAGTTAAAAATGAACATCTGGGAAGAACAACAAAATGTCATTATTGTCCTTACTGACAGTTTTAAAAATTGACCAGCCATCAAATTCTGAAGCTGACGTTTTAGTTTTAACATTATATTTTGTTAAAACGTAATAAATATTAAAGAGCTCAAATTTTCTATTGAATTTTATGGAACATTAGAGTCTGGCTTTGTAGTCACTTCTCAGTTCAGTTTTCACAGCCGAATTTTGATTGTGAATAAGTCAGTTTGTGATTATTACCAGATTTTTATCAAAAAATGAGTTAGATCTAAATGTTTTGTCTTCTCAGATATTCTGTCTCCCCTATTTGGGACACTTGTATCTTCAGCTCAGGTGAGTTTATGGTGGTTTTTTTCTTTAGGGGAGAAGGGACAAATAAACCCATAAGAAAATACACGTGAGGACCTGTCTCAGTCCTATACAGGGTTCCCGAGGTGACCCATACCAGGAGGCTGGCACCAGGAGCCATGGTTGTGGTATCCAGTCATTAGCATGGAGTAAGGATGCCACGATCAGTGGAGCTTCTGCTTCTGGATTGGGTTACAGGGACTGGCCAAGAAGTCACTTTGGGAATTCCAGCCTGAGGGACTTCTTTTTGGGACCCAGTTAATCTCATGGGGTTCTAGTACACCTCCTGAGAAGGTATGGGTAGGTATGTGAAGCCCCAAGTCATTTGATTTGCTTTAGAAAAGTGTTTCCTACACCTACCAAAAAGCAGTGAGTAAAAGTTATGCATACTTCTGCGTGTTTGATCGCTCCTGCTTTATTGAGCTGGTCCCTGGTGTTGATGAATCATGTCACTGCTTCATGCTCTTGAGGAAATAGTGAGAAAACAGGTCACATCCACGAAGAAACCAAAGCTGTGTGCTTTATGTTCAGCTTGGCCTCCAGAATCCTAGTCTCCAGTTGGAACATAGCAAACTTGTGTTCTCTTAGCTAGATAGGAGGAGGAGGGCCAGGGATTACCCAGGCATGGGGAGGAGCCTCCCTGGGTAAGTTCCATGCAGAACTTGTAGTCAAGATGTAATTGTTCTAAGCCTGGTAAATATCCAGTCCCAGAGTTCCATTAATAAAGCGAACCCATAAGTTAGGCTGAAAGGAAATGTTCTTTTCTTTTCTTTTTTTTTTTTTTTTAATAAAGATTTTATTTATTTATTTGACAGAGAGAGATCACAAGTAGGCAGAGAGGCAGGCAGAGAGAGAGAGAGAGAGAGAGAGAGGGAAGCAGGCTCCCCGCCGAGCAGAGAGCCCGATGTGGGACTCGATCCCAGGACCCTGAGATCATGACCTGAGCCGAAGGCAGCGGCTTAACCCACTGAGCCACCCAGGCGCCCCAGGAAATGTTCTTTTCTAAAAGTCTTTTTTATAATCACCTAGGGGAAAAAGGATAATTTTATAAATCCATTTATTTAAATTAATCAGAGGGCTCTTAGAAATATGTAGTAAGACTATCTAGAAATACACATACTGCCAAAACCTGCGGGTTCCTTTCCTGAAAACCTGTTTACTCTTGCACTAATCCACTGAGTCTGATTCCTTGAATTGGGTATTCCCTTCAAGAGGTATTTTAGGTTTGAATATTAGAGCACAACTGTCCAGGTTTATAAATAATATTTGGAGTTTGTCATTAGTCTAGGGTTTCTTTCAATTCAGTAACCAAACTGTTCTTACAGACTGTTTGCCTGAATTACCCATAACCCCATCCTTTTCTTTACCCATCTAGTTTAACTACTGCTTTGACGTGGACTGGCTCATAAAACAGTACCCACCAGAGTTCAGGTGAGTACCACAGGATGACTGATAACATCCTAACTGTAACGGGGCTTTAAAACAAGATTCGTGTTTCTCAGGCAACTGCTGTTCATCTTTCTTGATTATTTCTTTTGAAACTATTGAACTCCTACAAACTTAGTTGTATAGGAAAAACAGTGTTTGTTGATCTAGTCTAAGTAGTTGCATGCATTCCTAATACGGGTTTTAGCATTTGCCTCTGCACTTTCCAGAAGTAGATAAGGACAAAGCAATCTAAAGACAACTTTGATACTAATGTGAAGGAGAAGATCATTGCTACCTGCTTTCCAGACTTGGAAGCATATCACAGTTAGTGCGGCAGTGCTGTTCAAAGAATTTTTTTTTATAGGTGTTTTTTGTCAGAGCACGCAAACACAAGAGCAGGGGGAACAGCAGGGAAGGGAGAAGTAGGTTCTCCACTAAGCAGGGAGCCCAAAGCAGGACTCAAGCCCAGGCCCCCAGGATCATGACCTGAGCCAAAGGCAGATGTTTGAGCTGCCTAGGTGCCCATGTGCAAAGAATCTTTGCTTTGCAAATGATTCTTCCTGTGGCTTAGGAGTTAGTGAAGGGGGTCTTAGAGCTTCCCTCGTCCAGAGTATGGAGGTGATGGATTTTTCAGTTTGTCTCCTACAGTTTCCCAGCCCGGTGTTAGGCAGTGTAGACCAAATAAAGATAGCATTGTATGGTGCCATGCCACCTGTCTCATTTTTAACATTCACGTAGCAAAACCCCTAACAGCAGGTAGGTAAAGGAATGTTTCCACAGAATGATTGGTTAAAGTCCTTGGTGCATTTAGGACCTCAGATTCTGGAAACCTTTATTAATAGTAGGTAAAATGTTATTGAAATTTCCCAAATGGCTTTGACACTCAAAGGCTTGTATTTGACCTATGACACATAGGATTAGTTTTAGCTACATGTAACAGAAAAGCAAAAATAACCATGGCTTAAATGAGAGGAAGTAATTTCTCCAACCTAAGAAGTCCAGATAGTAGACATTTGTAGTCTGGATTGGGGGCTGCTGCAGTTCTCAAGGACTTACCCACCCATTCTGTCTTTCTGTCCCACCATCCCAGTACATGTCTTCAGAGTCCCTTCATGGTCCAGGATGACACCCAGGGCTTCAGGTCCACTGGTCTGTGGTTCAGATGGCAGGAAGGGGAAGGGACAAAAGGGCCACATCCCAGCTGTGCTTCCTCTGAGCAGTCTCCTAGAAGTCCTACACAGCACCTTATATTTTCACTGAGCAAGACTTAGCCACACAGTGCCTTGTTTCATTGAAATATAACAACCTGTTAATCTGCATCATGCCGTGGGCCTGGGCTTGTTCACTCTTGGATCTTGGGGGACTGCTGCCACCGTACCTAGCACACGGTAGTTAGTGAAGATAGGTCTAATGAGGAAATGCTCTTTGCTTGGTCTAAAGAAAGGGATAGAAAAGAGTATCCTACTAGATAATAGTACATGTTTATCTTTTAATCTGAACTTGAAAACATGAACACAGAGCTAACTATATGTTCTTTTGGACCAAAGAAGATAATTACGCAGGGACTTTCTCGAGTCACAGTCTCTCTGGGTCATAACAGAGCTTTGGGTCAGGCCACACGACCCTGTTGTAAATGTAACTGGTTAGTGGAGATTAACTAAACAGTGCTACTTATTAGCTCTGTACTCCATAACCACAAAGGCCAGAAATACTTGTCTGATGGTAAGAAAACTAGCATTCCTTAACTAATACCTTAACTAATCAACTAGTCTCTTTTATAAAAGATGTATTGTAAATACTTTTGATCTGTTTTCAGGAAGAAACCAATCCTGCTTGTGCATGGAGATAAACGAGAAGCCAAGGCTCACTTACATGCCCAGGCCAAGCCGTATGAAAACATTTCCCTCTGCCAGGTAGGCTGCCTATTGCTGTTTGAGATCCTGCTTAGTCTGAGAGTTGGAAGGAAATGTAGACATTTGGTCTATCCTCCCACCTAGAGCAAGAGTCCTTTCTCTAGCATCGCCAACAGCTCCTTATCTAGCCTTGACCTAAATGCTTCCTGAGAGAGCCCATCTATGTGTGGGCAGCCCTAGTTGGAAGGATTTTTATGTTGACCTGATGTCTCTGTATGTGTCAGGGTTCTCCAGAGAAACAGAACTGATAGGGTGTGTGTGTGTAGAAAGACTTCTTTGAAAAGAGCTGGCTCACATGATTGTGGGGACTGGCAAGTCCAAACGCTGTAGGGTAGGCGTGTGGGTGGAGACCCAGAAGAGAGTAGGTGCTGTAGGTCCAAAGATAGTCTGAAGACTAAGTTCCCTGTTCCTTGAGGAAGTTGGCCTTTTTTTCACTTAGGCCTACAACGGACTGGATGAGGTCCCCAAAAGGTAAGCCGTTTTACTCCATCTACTAAAATGTTGACCTCATCTAACAATAACCTTCATGGCAATATCTGACCAGGTATCTGGGAATTGTGACCTTGCCAAGTTGAAACAAACAAACAAACAAAATCCTCACCATTTCCTTTTACCTTTCAAGCTTGGGTCCTGATTCCCCTCTCTGGGGCCACATAGAATGAATTTCAATCTCACATATGAATGATTCTTATATGTAAAGCCCTCTGTTGTACCTCCTTAGTTTTCTTTCAGGATCGAGCATGGTTTCTTTGGTTGTACTTACAACAAGAATCCCTGTCTTCCCTCAATGTGCCTCCAGTCCTCTGTTTGCATCCAGTTCGTCAATGTCCTTCTCAAACCTAACCAGGTTGTCTGGATATAGTTTGGTGGTTGCTGCTTTCTGTGAGTGCAGCTTAAAACTTTTTATTTTGACAACTTATCTGACTGTTATTAGCTGCTGCTGACCCGTGTCCAGTAGTCCTCTGATCTTTTTCACGTGCATTGTGGCGAAGGTTTATACTGGGGAGATGGGCAAATTAAAAGCAAACCTGTTAGGAAACTACCTGTGTGAGTCAAGCTGCAAATGATCCAAGCCTGATGAGGGGATGTTAAGTGGTCTTATAACAGGTGTTTCTGCTTGATTTGCTGGGACCAAAGCAAAGCAGAAAAGGCCAGGAAGTTGTTGCCCAGGTTCTTGTTAGAGTCCCAGAACTCTGTCGTAATGCTCTTCAGTCCATACGTGGAAATACACTGTAAGTCTCGGACTTCCATTATGACCGGTTGCTTTTAGTTCCACCTCGAAGAGAATATTGTGTGTGGCATTTCATGCAAGAAACCAGCACATGGGGGAGAGAAAAGCAAGAATTTTTCATAGTAGGATTTCCTTCCTGTGGAAATGGTGGCTGTGAAGTGGCTGGTGTCGTACTGACCTTCTCCTGTGTTAGCAGCTGGCTAGTACGTTTTCAAGCAGCCATGTTCACATACTTTCACAGCCCCTTTCTCTCCTTGCCAGAGTGAGATGGCCTCTCGATTTTTGCTCTCGGAGTGCGTTGACAAGAGTGAACTACATGGAACCTAGATGACTTTTCTCCATTTTTTTTCTAGTATTTTTTTCTCCCTCTTCATATAAGATGTAAGAATTCCAACTCATTTTGATGTTCTTTCAACTATAAAATGTTATCTGTGTATATGTTTTTTTTTTTAAGATTTTTATTTATTTGTTTGACAGACAGAGATCACAAGTAGGCAGAGAGGCAGGCAGAGAGAGGGGGGAAGCAGGCTCCCCGCTGAGCAGAGAGCCCGATGCAGGGCTTGATCCCAGGACTCTGAGATCATGATCTGAGCTGAAGGCAGAGGCTTTAACCCACTGAGCCACCCAGGCGCCCCTATGTAGTTATTTTTAAAGATTTAAAGAGAGAAACCTCAGTCGGATCAACTTTAAGCTGATCTTAAATTTTTCCTATGATTTAACCCACAGTACTTTATATATAGTTGGAGTTTTAAAAGTCACTCCTTTACCCAGCATGTTTGTGGCTCACCTTCTACACATAAATAAGCCTCAGCTTGGCATTTGCCTAAAATCCCTTGGTTGCTTTTGCTTCCAAAAGCAGAAGAGGTTTAACTGCAATAGGGTGGTGCTAATGAGACTAATTGTGGGTGGAAAATAACACAGGAATCCTAAAGACCAGTCATGAAATCCGTGGAAATAGGAGGTCTTTCTCAGGCACTAGCTCCTTGTACTGAAAAGGAGGGTGAGTGTGTGGCGGGTCTGGTGGTGTGCTCCCGGCCTGCCGCTAGAGGGCGTGGTCGTCTTTAGTTTGAGTAAAGAGCTGTTCAGAAGGTTTCATTTCTAAAGTAGAGATTTGTGGCCCCATCCTGACCTGTTGAAATATTGTTATATCTTGTCTTTAAGATGAATTCTTGGGTTTTTTGGGGGGGGCGGTGTTGCACAACATAGTGTTACTTGATGAAGCTTAGGCATACTAGTCAAAGAATCAGCGGATGCTCCCATTTTGCACATGCAGGACCTGAGGGGAGAGATTGAGACCTGTGGTGGTCAAGGTTCAAACAGCCTGGGTTCTGCAGTTCTCTTCCCACTAACTATGCCCTTCTGGGCCCATCACTTAACTTCTGTAAGCCTAATTTATTTATCTTTAGGGTGGATTGTTAATCGTCTTTTTCATTGGGTTTTTGTGCTGAGAATTTGGCGCATTTGCCTAAAAAGCATCCATTAACTGTTACCTGTTCAAGTTAATATCGTTGTGCTTAGACTTGCACAAGAGCAAACAGCTTATAGCGAAACTAAACTTGGAAGCCAGACTTTTGACGATTGCTTTATCTGAGCTAAATATCAGTTTACAGGGAGACAGTCTTCATTCTAATTCTGTAATTTTAAAGACCTTCTGTTCACTGGTCTCTTGATTTGTGTGGCCAGAACATACAAATGAATTCTGTTCTGTGAGCATCCGCAAACACTGAACTTAGGAACGTAGTGAGCGGGGCCACCTGTCAGAGCATCCCCTAGACAGGCTGCGTCATACTACCCTGTATTCCAGCTGCATCTTTCTTCCTCCAGCAAACAGGTCCATCCCTCTGCCCTGTTGGGGCGGGGAGCTTGATTGTAGTAGCGCTTGGTTCCATTTGTAGAGTGCTTATCCCTTGGAGGCTCTATTTTCTAGACAGTCCATGCAATTGTCTCATTTACTCCTAAAACTCTGAATCCCTGGGGCACCTGGGTGGCTCGGTGGGTTAAGCCTCTGCCTTCAGCTCAGGTCATGATCTCAGGGTCCTGAGATCAAGCCCTGCATCGGGCTCTCTGCTCAGGGGGGAGCCTGCTTCCCCCTCTCTGCCTGCCTCTCTGCCTACTTGTGATCTCTCTCTCTCTCTCTCTGTCAAATAAATAAATAAAATCTTTATTAAAAAAAAAAAAACAAAACTCTGAATCCCCTAACAGCACCCTCATTGTAAAGAGGAGTAAGATAAGGCACAGAGATTTAATTATTTTTCAAAGTCACCCAGAGTTGTAGGGATGGGATTTGTGTCCCTATACCTGCATTCCTCACTGTTCACCTGGTGTGACATTTCTGTTTAATTCTTTCATAGCCTACATCTTCAGGCATATTCTACTTAACCAAGGTCTTGCTATACCAGATGTTACGTAAAAATGTTTTAATTCTCCACCCAGTCCTGTTTGTTTGTAAAGGTGTCATTTTGTAATAGGAAAATAGGTTGAATACATTATCTCTTTTCAGCACTTGCTAGGTTGTCAGTATAAGAGAACTTCTGTTTCAGCACCACAATGCATACTGCCACCACATTGTTTTTTTTTTAATATATGGTCTGGAAACTTTCTGATACATTAATTTCTGAATAAGCCAAATATCTTAAAACTTTGCATAGGGTCTCATTTGGTTTTTTGGCAACTAAAGAAATCCCATGTCTTGCTTCTTGATTACTATAATTAAAAATGGAGTAGGTATCAAATCATTCTGGCTAATAGAAAAAAATCTTAATGAGCCTCACTGGGTAGGATTTTAAAAATTGTAGTGTCAGTCCAGGGCTTGTCCACTAGAGGGCAGTAAAAATTCAAAACAAAGTTGACCTGAACCCTTTGTAACCTGATTTCCAATAGATAGGGATATTGAGTTTATTCAAAATAAGTGACTCAATTTCTTTTTCATCCTAGGCAAAGTTGGATATTGCATTTGGAACACACCACACGTAAGCAAGTTTTTATGAGATGGGGGAGGGTATGATTTTATGAGAGCCAAGGAGGCTGTTCCAAAAAGTGCTTTTGAAGGAACTCACAGGTGACAGTTTTGTCAGGGAAAAGAGTCTATCAGTAAAAATTAGAGGCAGTGGAGCCGTTTACTAATGGCCTTAAGACGAAGTCCTGGGATTCTGGCTTTCAGCATGAAAATCTGAATCTGTGACGCAGTTTCTGCTTTCTTTCTGTTTAGGACATTTCTTACAGCCAGCTTGAGGGGAATATTTGGTGGTTGTGTGGTCTGTGGTTATGAATGACTGTATGTGTCAGTCATGTGCCTGTGGATTCTACTACCTTAACGTCTAGTGATCTCTTAAGATGCTGAATTGCATTAAATAGACTATTGTTAGGTCAGCCTTATGCTGTGAAGAAAAAAAAAACTATTTTACAAAGTTGGTCTTTTTTGTTTGTTTGTTTTTAAGATTTTTATTTATTTATTTGACAGAGAGGGACCACAAGTAGGCAGAAAAGCAGGCAGAGGGGAGGGGGAAGCAGGTTCCCTGCTGAGCAGAGAGCCTGAAGTGGGGCTCAATCCAGGACCTTGAGATCATGACCTGAGCTGAAGGCAGAGGCTTAACCCACTGAGCCACCCAGACACCCCTATTTTACAGAGTTAACTTGAGAAGCTGATGCATATTCCTGCTCAAGACTTCTCAGAAGTTCCTTTTAGAATAACTTTGAGAACTTGAGAAGAATAGACAGGAAAAACCCCTATTACTTCCTGCTTGACACATACCCAGTGATTGGTTTGACTCCTGTTCTACTGCCGTGAGCCCAGCTGTTGGAGCCTTTTTACATAATTACTCTATAAATGAGAAAAAGAACAAGATATGGTTGTCCCTGTTTCAATATTTTTATGAATCACATTTCTCTAGAAAGGATTTGTCAGAAGGATGTGACAAAGCCTCATCTTGGAGACCAACATTGGAAATGGGTTGGTATTGCAAGCAGATTCCTTCAGATCCATCTCTAGGGCAACAAGCAATCTCATAGGAGGAATAGTAGTCCTGAGTCTCGCCATGGTCATCGTTTTTTTGATGTTACAGTGACTTGAAATAAGGAAATACGTTCATCTTTTTATGGCAAAATCATTTTGAAGCATACAGCCTGTTTTCAAAAGGAACCAGGGCCGGAAGAGTTGAGCTGTTTCATAAGAGGATGCCTTTCAGTGCTACATTATCTGGTCCAGATGCCCTTGAGTAAATGTTGCAGTGTTTACCAACCATCCCTGATTGGTAGCCTCTAACTGGACAGGGTTTAAGGATTGTTAGGAACTTTAAGCATTTAGCTCAGATATAAATTACTCTTTAGTAGCACCGAGGTCACAGGATGCTAACTTCAGCAAAGGATACAAAATAGCCTTAAATAGACTGAATAGGTGTCTTGGGCTCCTCTCCCTGCATCACAGGAGAGCCTGGCGGTGGATGGCAATAGTCACCCTGTCCAAGATAGACATTCTGCCCGCAGTGAATAGCACCAAATGGACCCTAGCCCACTGCCCTAAGCTGGACCCCGAGCATAAAAATCTTACTGATTCTGAAATACTGTTACCCATTTGGGGCCTGGACATGGTATCCTAGGTCTCCAGCGCCAGCTCCCTGCACTAGCCACCCATTCTGTGACAGCAGTCAGCACTGGGCTTAATCATGCTGCAGTTAACAGGCTGGCACATAGGAGAGCCCCATGTCTTCCATCTTCATTTCAATTACACTGTGATGGAGTATGTTGGGCCTGGCCAGGATCTAGCATAATGACATTTGATTGATCCTAGAGAAGCTATCATTTTTAATGCTATTTAACAAATTATTTGGTTCTTCCTTTTCATTATATAGAGGTTCTGAGTAGATAAGCAATTACCTTCCAACTACTGTTGAAGATAGAACTACAACTCATTTTTTATTCTTGTTTGTTTACAGCTAAAATTGACCTCATTTTTTTCCTTTGGTCTACTCCTTCCTCCACACCCCCGTTACACACACAGACTTAGCAGCTTGAACCCAGCAGTTACTCACTTGGAGTTGTGAATGCCTAGGGAAGCAATTATAACAGAGCCCTTTCCAGCCACATAGTCTGTGTAGTTTTTACATCGTGTTAAAATGCCAGTATCTTGTAGGAGATTAAACTCATGCCTTGAATTTACTCCATTACTTGTTTAAAAAAATTTTTTTAAAGAATTCATTAAATATTGAGACAGAGGGGCACCTGGGTGGCTTAGTGGGCTAAGCCTCTGCCGTCGGCTCAGGTCATGATCTCAGGGTCCTGGGATTGAGCCCCACATCGGGCTCTCTGCTCAGCAGGGAGCCTGCTTCCCCCCTTTCTCTGCATGCCTTTCTGCCTACTTGTGATCTCTCTCTGTCAAATAAATAAAATAAAATCTTTAAAAGATAAATAAATATTGAGACACAGTTTTAGTGTTTTGAGACTTAATAATTCCTTTAGCTCTTAGTGTTTGGGTGAGAGAGGCCAAATTATAGGAGTTAGAAAAAGGAGGAAACCTTCCAGCGCCTGGTGCTGGGGTGTCATGTGCCTCCAACTTGAGAGTGTAGCTACCACAGTAAATAGGAAGTAGTCTTTGACATTCAATTTAGCAAGCATGTATTGACCATGTACTGTGCACAGAGCATCCAAAGACAACCATGATGTAGCCCCCCTCCCCCCTGCAATCATCATCCCTATTAGGTACAATAAACATGCTTTCTCTGTGTCTCTGTAGGATGCCATGCAGTCCCAGGGCCTGTCACCCAGTGCTTTAGAATTCTGAAGCTTTTCAGTGTCCCCCAGGGCTGGGAGCAAAAGTACCTCTGGCCCTGAGAATCCATAGCAGGGAAGGAGGGAAACCAAAGCAGCCAAATGGCGAATGTGTAACTGGGAGCCAGTGGCAGACTGCCGGGTGGGCCAGGCACCCCTTTCTGCTTGCATCTGTAGGCGGGCCTCCAACCACATATGACTTCGTCCTTCTTCTCCCCTAGACCACATTGTCCTACCCATTCACCCACTCACACACCAGTTGTGTGAAGGTCCTTGGCCCCGTTCTTCCTCATTGAGAGGAAGATCCCAGCACACGTGATCTGAACAAGCTCTTCCGGCTCATTTAAGAACCATGATCATCCCATTACCTACCCAGCCATAGATTCTGCAGCTGTAAAATGAGACTGGTAAAGCCTCCCGCATTGCTGTAGGGATTTGGTGTGTTGCTATTCTGGAGAGCTGCTGGAATGCCTGGCCCATAGGTGCTCTGCAGACATTCGTGTTCCTCCCCCCTTTACAGGAATAGCTCCAGATTTGGAAATCATCCCTTTTGCTGCCCCCACAACTTAATAGGTGACATGTAGGTCAACATTTGTTCAGGGTAGACCTCCTTTCTTATCCTTTATCCATTTTTAATTGTGATTCTCATTAGCTCATGCCATTTTGTGTGAGATGATGGCTCTCTTTAGAGTAGTTCACAATTCTGTTGGGTAGGATTCACTGACAGCAGTACATGATTTTCCTGATAATTGATGCCTTGATTAATGGAAATATTTGTGAAACTTACATCTTGAATTCATAACTGTCCTTATTCTTAATTACAGTCGGCTGCTAATTTGGCAACTGTGTGTATAAATCTGCCTAGATATCAGGGAGCACATTTCATAAATGGAGAAAAGATGGGTTCAGCAGCTGTCACTTCTCCAGCTTTGCATTAACTTACTGTTTGCCAGCTTGGGTTAAATTCTCCTTTTGGCAAGAGCTAAATATCTCTTTTCTGTTCTGTGCAGTATATTTTTATATTAACTTCCTCCTGTCCAAATACTATTCACAGTATTGTTTGGAGAGAACCAGTGGTTCATTTTGCCCCCCGTGCATGAACTGACCTCACAGTAGGTATTAAGTATAAGTAGCATTTTGTCCCCAGTGGACATAAGGAAGAGTGACTGCATTGAGGAGTGAATCTCTAGTTATCTGAAATAATTAGGAAACAATTGGGAAGCCGAAAGCCCTCCAGTAACAGATGAAGAAATGAAGCAAGACACTGAGGGAGTCCTGGAAATGCACATGTGAGAGAGTTTGTTTCACGAACCATGTTATGTTTCCTTCTCACAACCCTATGCAGCAAGGAAGGGGTTGATCCTTCACTTTGTGTAAGTGAGAAACTGAGGGACACTGAGTGACTTCCTTAGGGTCCTATGGCCTCCAACTGATGACTGGAGTTTAGGTCGTCAGCTTCAAGTAGAAAGCTCTTTTTTGTTCCTATTCCGTCTCTTGCTAGAATTAAAATATGAGAACTCTGTCTGATAACTGGAGGCCTGGGGAAGGAAGGCCCATGGCAAAGGGAGGACTCAACTGGGTCTGATTTTAGTAAATAAAGGAAAGACTTATTTCAAGGCGAGATACACGTTAGTGATTAGTATGGCATTTGTGGAGTATAAGAAAAGATCAGTCTTAGAATAGTGAAGCATTTTCAGATTTCTCTAAACTGCAACTCACATTAAAAAATACAATGTACATTTCAGTCTGTTATATTTGTCCATACTCATATGCTAAAACTAGCTATTTAAATGTCTACAGTATATTTTTGAGTTTTTAAACTTTATTGCAACTTTTTTTTTTTTTTTAAGATTTATCTATTTCTGAGAGAGAGTATAAGCAGGAGGGGCAGAGGGAGAGAGAATTTCAAGCAGACTCTCTATTGAGCGCAGAGCCTGACATGGGGCGTGATCTCACAACCCTGAGATAGTGACCAGAGCCAAAATCAAGAGTCCGATGCTTAACTAACTGAGCCACCCAGGTGCCCCTTTATTGCAACTTCTTAAAAAATGCTAGCCATTAAAAAAAAAAAATGCTAGCCATGATATAGCAGGAGGTTGTGACCATACTTCAAAAAACACTGGACAAGAAGGTTTCCATGGACCTGAATAGTAGCGGGTAATAGCTAAGGGTAAGGGCTCAAAGTGTCAGGCTTGCACATGCAGGCAGGATGAGGCCAAAGTTCATTTACCGATAGAGCGTTTTGGAAGGTGGTTTTCTACCTATCACTAAAATGGACTTTGATTTTAATGTGTAGAAGAAATGAGGATTGTAAATGTTAAAAGAGTATTAGAAGGGTCTAAGCACTCCTTCAGCTCATGGTATTTGCACTGGAAAAATAGTACATATTTTAAAAGTAATGTTAATGCTTTTGTTCTTCTCTTTGTTATTAAAGGAAAATGATGTTACTGCTGTATGAAGAAGGCCTCCGGGTTGTCATACACACCTCCAACCTCATCCATGCTGACTGGCACCAAAAAACTCAGGGGTTTGTAGGCTTCTCTTTACTATACAGCAGTGGCTATGGGTGGCATTCCTTTTCTCTTATATTGTTAAAACAGAACAAGACAAAAAACAAAACCCTCACATGTGGCATAGAGAAGAGACCTACACAGAAATAGTTGCACCTCCCACCCCCCAGGCCCACCTTCTTGAAGTAACGAGTGCTAACAGTTTAGTACATACACATCCGTGACTATTGTATGTGTTAACAGAAGGACCTTTTTTCCTTAGCTCTTACAAAAACAGGATTATACATACTCTACAGCCAAGCACAGGGAATAGCATATGCAAAGGATCTGAGGCAGGAGAGAGGGTGTAAAATGAAAGGTCTGAACCCATTTTTCTGGTGAGACCCATCAGTAACTTGGCCCGGTACCCACTGTACTTTTGCTTGCCATTTCCCAAATGGTAGTGAAGGAGAACTTAGTGGTTAATCATCTGTTAAAAACTTCCTGTCATCCTCAGTTTATTTTTCCGTAAAAGAAATCTGATGTATTTTTAGAGCCGTTGATATATTCATATGGTCATGAATCGCCAAGAGAAAAATTGAATTTGAAATTTCTTCATGCTTTTTTTATTACTAACCCTTTGTTCTCAGTATACTTCAGATCTAGTCTTTGAGTCCTTTTAAGGAGAGGGGCTAGGGATTTTTTTGTTTTAGGGATTTGCTTAAATCAAGTTTTAAGCACTGTTCTCCCACTTGGTAAGTTCTTCATTCTGGCTTTCATTTCCCTTTTTTTTTTTTTTTTTAAAGATTTTTATGTATTTATTTGACAGATAGAGATCACAGGTAGGCAGCGAGACAGGCAGAGAGAGAGAGGAGGAAGCAGGTTCCCTGCTGAGCAGAGAGACCGATGTGGGCCTCGATCCCAGGACCCTGGGATCATGACCTGAGCCGAAGGCAGAGGCTTTAACCCACTGAGCCACCCAGGCGCCCCTCATTTCCCTTTTTTAAGCCATTGTGTACATCTCTGCCTTCTCCAGGATTGGAAGAAACTCAAGCATTCCTCTAGCACCTTTCACAGTTCCCATATTCTCCACTCTCCTCCTCCCCTGCCTTACGCTCCGTCACTGCCCAGGGTGGGCTAGAACTCTTAATTTCAGAGCATGTTAGCAGAGCCCAAGTCATACCTTACGTTAACCTGAAATACAGGACCTTCTAGCCTCTGTCCTGTGGGCTTGATTTGACTCCACTGCCGTGTAGAACAAGGGTACCCCCTCTCCCTTCAGACAGCCCTTCCAGCTTGAAAGGCAGGCTTTTCCCTGAGCCTGACATCTCTAGCTCTTTCTCTTCACTGCCTTTCCCCAGCATAGCAAGGGGCTTAGAGCCTCACCCACAGTGCCTGATAGTTTTTCTATAAACATGTTCCAGTTTTCAAGTTGTCCCACTGCTTCTCAAAATGCATTGAATTCCAGCTGGTTCAGGATGGAAGGGATCACCACTGTCTCAAAAGCCTCAGCCACAGGAGGACTCTCTTGAGCAACAGAACTGAGTTAACTATACCTTTGCTTCTCCTAGAGCTGCTTAGCTGCTTGGTTGGGTGTTGAAACTCATGAGTCTTATGGAGTTTATCAAGTTGGCACTGATTCTTTTGTGGCTCAAAGAGTCCCACCCCTAGCCAGCGGCTCTTTCTGGAGTCAGAAGCTTGAGCCATGCTCCTTTAAGTTGATGGCACATGGTTTCAAACTTAAAGTATGGAGGGTATGAAATCTCCAACTTCCCTTTGCCAGCCACCCTCAAATAGGGTACTGTTGTACTGTTATCTCACAGTGAGTCTAGATTCTAATCCCAAATTTGCATTTTTGTGTTGTGGGTTATAATTTTTTAAATGTTTAAAAATAGTCCTTTGGTGTAATTTTCACGGTTGGTCCACTAGTTATGCTCTGCTGGTCCTGGTCTGCTGTACAAGCGTTTCAGCCATCCTTTTTAGCTGCTGCTCGGTCTGCCTGTTAATTTCTCACTTTGAAAATTATTTGGCCCACGATAATTACACATTTTACTTTGTCAAGTGCTAAAATCACCTCACATCTCCGTATCCTGGTTTAGAAAGTTGTCATCTGTCCTGTACCTCATCCAGACACTGATGTGAGGGAGCCTTTAATCCAGGAGGAGCCCAGCAGCCTGTGAGCTCTGAATTGCTATGTGTGAGGGAGAGACTGACACACCTGTGCGGCCCGGTATGCTCGTTACTCATGTAGAGAGCCAGGCGCTCACAGAGCTCGTTGGGCTGGCCCCAAAGGACACAGCCAGTTAGAACCAGATCTGGCCCCAGCACCTGTGCTGTAGTCCTCTTCACGTATGTTACCCCTTGTCCAAGGGGTCTCTTCAAGATGGGAAGGAAAGGTGTGACATGCCCCCCTGCTAGATATGTGTGCAGAGTTCAGAAGATGTACGGGCAGGATCCTTGCAGTTCTGGATGCTTCCAGCCCCGGTGGCCTGCATCTCCCCAGTCTCCTTTGAGGGGTGCCAGGTGAAAGAGGAATTGGGCAGTTTGTCTTTGGGCTTAATGGGTGGAACTGCAGTGGGGTAGCTACAGAAGCAGAAAGTTGGTGACAGCAAATACGTCTTTAGCGCTTGTTTAATCCTGATATTGCTCATTATCTCAAGTGTGAGGCACACACACCCTGTGATGCGGGACTGCTGGCCCGGACGATTTTGCAGCTGAAACTGAGCACGAGGTTTGAAACCATATTTCTTTATGATCTGTCATGGAGCATGTCATAGAGGGATGGGGTTTAGGTGCACTTTTCCCACTTGTGGGTGCATAGAAGTTTAGGCGAATGGAATTACCCTCCTTTGAGGACAATCGGTGAAATGAAAGATCTCTTTAATACATTGTTTACTAGGTTGTTTGAAAGTAAGAGGTTAATAAATGTAATAGCATTAAATACGGTATCTACTCATTGCAGCCATCAGGGAAGTACAGGATATGAAAAGATCTCAAGTTGCTATAGCATATACATCATGAAAATGAGTTTATTTATTGCAAATAGATTTGTATATACATTTTTCTTAGTGTAGGTAACTTTTTTCCCATTTGACTGAAGAGCTACATGGGGGTAGCTTGCTGGGGTTGCTACAGGTGGTATGGATTTGCTGTGACCATTAGGCATGCAGCTATTAGTTACTGTCTCGGGGTCTTAGCAGTGTGGAGGTGGGAGGCGGGGGTAAAGAATAAGGAAGGTGTGGCCAAAGAGGGAGCATAGAGCATTGAGTTGTGAGAAATGGGCAGAGACAGGGTCCTAAATTCATGGTGAGGTATTGAAAAATCATTCTGAATATTGTGGAAGCCATTGGAGTGGTGAGATGGGATTTATGCTCATGTTCCCTAACGATGCACTCTACTTACCATGCGGACACCAAGTGCAAATTCGCCTTTTCCTTAGGGTGAGTGTGTAGTCAGCAGAGGTATGGTGATCATTTGCTTTCCTGACTGTTTTTTTTTGTTGTTGTTTTGTTTTTCTATTCCAGAATATGGTTGAGCCCCTTATACCCACAAATTATCCATGGAACCCACAGATCTGGAGAATCAACAACACATTTTAAAGCCGATCTCATCAGCTACTTGACGGCTTATAATGCTCCTTCACTCAAGGAGTGGATAGATACCATCCACAAACATGATCTGTCTGAAACCAAGTATGTGTTACTTAGCAATTTGGGATTCTTAAAGCGGGTGAATACCTTGAGAGCCGTACCGTAGCTGCAGTGCAGGAGCCTTGGAAGGAGGTGGAATGATATCTGGCTGTCCCTCATAACGTGAGAGCACATTCTCTCACTATCTGCCTCTCCTAGATCTGAGGGGCTAAAGTGGAGGCCAGTAATCATCCTGCTCACCATAAGCTTCCTTCTGGAGTACTCCTGAAGCTACATGATTTCATTGCTGGTACCTTACCCTTGTGAGTGTTCCACCATGATTTGATGTGCTTGAAAATGAGTGTCCGTTATTGTTCTGAGGAGGCATCTCAAGAAAATAGGTGGTCTCTTAGAACATCTCATGATAACATTAGTTTTTGTGTGTATTTTATTATTTGGGGGTCCATGAATCATATCAGTCTTTTCTATAACTTGTATTTTATGTTCTTTTAGTGTTTATCTTATTGGATCAACCCCAGGACGCTTTCAAGGAAGTCAAAAAGATAATTGGGGACATTTTAGACTTAGAAAGGTAACAGAATTTTTACTATTTTGTTATAATTAGTGTATATTTTTCATAATATATTTGGATGGCAGCTTCATAATAGCACAATTGTGGGTGAACAGCATGCTCTCGATTATAGTTTTCAGTAATTTTTAATGTTTCGCCTTTTTGAGGTATAGATTGCTCTAAATGGCAGAAGTATAAAGACTTTTTTACTTGCTTTATTTCTTAGATGTCTCATTCATGCAGCTATTGTTGCTTTTGATTTCCTCATCTGAAGGCTTTTTAACATACAAATTCAACAAAGAACAGAAAAGTACTATTGAGTAAAGGCTACAACTGTGCTAGGATGTATTTTGTTTACTAAACCAGAGCCTTTAAGAGTTATTACAAAAGCAGTCTTTGCTGCTGGTATGAAAATGAACAAAGAAAAGTCTTAACAAATTGAAACAAGCAGGTTCAAGAGTATGGTTTTCTTCATCTCTGTTTAGTGACACTAAACATTAATGGCACTAATAAATTCCCCAAGTGGCTCTCCTAAAAACTTTACCTTTTTCTGTGAAGTATTGGTCATGTAAGAATTACTCTTGGTTAATGAAACTTAATTTCCTTTTTTGAATTGAGGCCACAGCTGAAAGCAGGTAGAATCTAGAAGCTAACATCCTCATGTCATGACCTAAAGAAGGCAGTAGAGCACACAGGCTGAGTGGATAGCTTGGAGGCAGATTCTCATACATGGGTTCAAATCCTCACCTGTTCATAAGTCATGTGACCTGCCTCTCTTCTATAAAACAGGCATAATAAGAATACTTCACTCACAAAATTGCATAAGGATTAGGTGAACTAGAGAGGGCAAGGGGGTATTTGATGAGCCTTCAGTGTGCTGGTTGGTGGCTGTCAGTTTGTGGCCTGATGGTTGAGAAAGGCTAGATGCTAGCACATAGTGTGTAGAATCAGTCTTCCTGGAGGGAAAAGAGCATCTTGGTTTCCAGACCACTTCTCCCACACACCTGCTGCATCACAGCTTCCTTCTAGGGAAGACAGGAATGGTCAGACTGGTCTTTCACTGACCTGTAAATGGAAGCCCAGGGACGTGTCCAGGACCTTGTAGCAGATCAGGGGTCGAGCACCAGAACAGAAACTGGGTCTTGTAGCCGTCAGCTCAGTCCTGTTTCTTACACCATGCTGCAGAAGGGTGGAAACTGAGAACTAGGCTTTTTGGTAACCTCGTTTATAATATTAATGCCTTAGCTGTGTTAAGAAAAATAATACTTATGAAACTAAATAATCCATCAGTCAGAATATGATCTCCATTGGGAGCTGCTGCGGCTTATTTTCTTCAGCCTCTTGGAAGTAGACACTCAGTACTTGTTTAAGTAGATAAAATTTCCAAATATTTTTGAATTGTTTCTGCAGCTTTGCATAATTATAAAAGCAGGAAATGCAGATCAGTCTCCTGCAGTGCTTAGGGTGCTCTGTATATGTACATAAAAACGCTCTTTAATTTTTTTAGAGCATCACTACATGGAGCCCAAGTGTGAAATCTCTTTCAAATGATAGGAGTCAAAATATACAATAGTTTTTTTTTTTTTTTTTAGGTATTAACAATTATTTCAACGCAAAATCTCATTCCGTATGGCAGGTCAATGGTTTATCTGACATTCCTACTAAAAGGGATCTTTTTAAAAAAATTGGTTTGCTTTAATACAAATCAAAGAATTTTAGAAGAATACTTCTGTCCACCTATCCCATTAAAATATTTTTAGTATTTAAGCAACATTTTCCAAAGAAGAAAAAGTGAGTATGAAATTGATATGTAATATTTTTAGCATTTTTTGTTGATTAGGGGTTCCAAGGACAGAAAACCCAGTTCTGAGTTGTTAAAGCTTTTGTGTTCACAGCTTCTGAAAGAGCATGCCTCTCCTAAAGGGGAGTCCTGGCCCATAGTAGGGCAGTTCTCAAGCATTGGGTCTATGGGAGCTGATGACTCAAAATGGTTGTGTTCCGAGTTTAAAGAAAGCTTGGTGACACCGGGGAAGGAAAGTCGGACCCCAGGAAGAAGTGCCGTTCGTCTTCATCTGGTGAGTGCCCTTCCTGCTTCACATGATCACGTTTATTCTCTAGTCCTGGAGAAGCATGAGAATCCGTCCTCCCTCTCAGAGAGGTTTTAGTCCGTGATTCTTGCATGGAAACAGCAATGCATTAGCACCATCATGTGTGATCATGTCACCCTTGTATCCTCTGGTGCTGAGAGGGTGGTGCCTCTGCTGGGAGGGTGGAGCTCTATTTCAGTCACACACTAGTCTGGGATTTTTACATTCCTTCCTTCGGGTTCTCAAGCCAAAGAAAAAAATATCTGGTAAAGCATTCGCTCAGAACATTATTAGAGACTTTTGAATTAATAATTAATTTTGCAAAAAAAAAAAATAATTTTGCATCAAACTCAGTGTTAATTTGGCATTTTTGAGGGAGAAACTCAAATTGAAGTTTTTCATTGAATATATCTGCTTCCTCTAGTTACTAGAAGTTACATTTTTTCATAAAATGAAAATTCTTAATTTTTTTTTTTTTAAGATTTTATTTATTTGACAGAGAGAGAGAGAGAGAGATCACAAGTAGGCATAGAGGCAGGCAGAGAGAGAGGGGAGGAAGCAGGCTCCCTGCGGAGCAGAGAGCCCGATGCGGGGCTTGATCCCAGGACCCTGAGATCATGACCCGAGCTGAAGGCAGAGGCTTTAACCCACTGAGCCACCCAGGCGCCCCTTAATTTTTTTTTTTTTTAAGATTTTTATTTATTCATTTGACAGACAGAAATCACAAGCAGGCAGAGAGAGAGATTGGAGGAAGCAGGCTCCCCGCCGAGCAGAGAGCCCAATGCGGGGCTTGATCCCAGGACCCTGGGATCTTGACCTGAGCCGAAAGCAGATGCCTAACTGACTGAGCCACCCAGGCGTTCCCTAAATGAAATCTTTCTAATTGAGATTTTCATCTTAAAAACATTCCTTTTAAGAAAGTTTCTTTAACATGGTACAATTTGAGTGTTATTTTGTATTTTTCCTTTTTTTGAAAATTTTTTCATTTATTTTTAGATCTATCCTTCTGTGGAAAATGTGCGAACCAGCTTAGAAGGATATCCAGGTAACTGTGGGAGACTGTCTCAGTTGCATTTTTTGGTATATCTTTCAGAAATGTAAACTTTTTCAAACAAGTAATAAAAATGCCATTCTCCTTGAGAAAAGAACTGGTTACAAATTTGGAGCATATTTTCCCTTAACTGGCTAACAATCATGGAAATAGGTAATATTGAGTAGTACTAGTTCCAAAGATGGTTCCATGCTTTTGGGCAATTTTAGTATGTTACTGAATCCTCACAGTAACACTGTGAGGACTTTTTCTGATTTCCACAAGTTAAGGTGGTCCCTCTGCCAAAAGTGGGTCGGTTGTCCAGACAAGATGTCCGAATAAAACCACCTTCCCTGTTGCGTCCTGCCTTTCCAGATAATTCTAACATGCCTTTCTCTGATCTCTCTCTCCATATCCTCCTTGCTTGTGTCTGTGGCTCTGTGTGGTTCTTCCAGATTTGAATCACAGATATATTTAAGGTCCAGAACTTCTGCTTAATCTTGGTGTTGCCTAGCCGATACTTGAGCTTTCTAAAGCACTTCATCTATAAATGCTTAGGATGATTTTGTAGGCAACTTTCAACTTTGTTTGCTATTTTCCTTATACAGTGCTGGACACTGAACTTATATTTGGAATCCAGCAGCCCTCCAGATAGCACATTCAGGAGGCAGTAACCAAAAACCCAAGCAGGGTTTGTCTCTGGAAAAAGGAAATCTGATTGGCATTTGCTTGTGGCTGGAAGCAGAATGCTTTGAATTAGACTAATTTGGTCCATTTATTGCTTGTCAAACCAGAGGTGACCCTGCCAGAAATAACTTAGTTAAGGCTTGGAGTGTAACGTATCAGCCCATATAACGTATTGCCCTAATGGCAAAGCCAAAATTATTTCGCTGAGGCTTGAGACATGGTGATGTTTTAGTTGGTTTTTGTCTTCTCCTTTCTCCGCTTCTGTTAGACCAGATTCATTCAAAATGTGCTTTTTAATGGGGAAGAACAAGGTATTTTCCATAAAACTATTTCATAACTGGCTCTGAATACGTTTTTAAGTTATTTGCAGTAGAGGATACGACATACCTTATAATGATTCAGAAATTTAAAGCCCTTTTTGGATATAGATTATGGAGAAGTTCCAACATGTGTTTAGAAAGTCACTGGTGAATCTGCAATAGAACTTTCCTCCTTTCAAAGATGAACAAAAACTGGCTACTACTTGTGTTTCCACTTGGAACTGTATCTCTACTTTCTATGCAGGAATATGGCATTTAGAATTGCTTTTTAAAAACAACTGTTTACCAGACTTTTTTTTTTTTTTTTTAAGATTTATATATTTGAAAGAGACAACAAGAGCAGGAGGAGGAGAGGGAAGGGGAGAGAGAGAGAGAGCAAGAATCTCAGGCACACTCCCTGTTGAGCATGGAGCCCAACACAGGCCCTAGTCTCATGACCCTGAGATCATGACTAGAGCCAAAACCAAGTCAGACGCTTAACCAACTACCACCCAGGTGCCCCTGTACATTTTAACTTAAATTTAGTGATGACTATTCCGTTTGTAAGAATGTTTAGCTAATACAAACTCTGGAAATATCAGAAAAAAGAGGTAAAGGAAGCAGGAGGACTGAATTTTCATCTTAGTGTGCCTTCCCAGGTGTCCTGCTCTTGGGCAAAAATTGGAGATGCTCCAGACCACCTGCATGAGAACTGTAGGATAGGCCAGCATTCTTTTTTTTTTTTTAAGATTTTATTTATTTATTTGACAGATCACAAGTAGGCAGAGAGAGAGGAAGGGAAGCAGGCTCCTCGCCAAGCAGAGAGCCTGATGCGGGGCTCGATCCCAGGACTCTGGGACCATGACCCGAGCCAAAGGCAGAGGCTCTAACCCACTGAGCCACCCAGGCGCCCCTAGGCCAGAGTTCTTAATGCAATTTTTCAAAAACCTTCGAATCTGTGCTGTTATTGATATGTAAATTACCACCCCTGAGTGATTAAATAGTGCCTCTTTTCAGATTGTAAACATGTACCATTTAACATGTATCCCTAAGTAAGGAAACCCCATAACGGAACATACCTAATACAAGTGTAGACCTTTCCTTTCAAAGAACCATTTCATAAGACGAAATAGGAAGTGGTATTGTTTTTTCAGTGTTTACTGTAGATTCTTAATGAAGGATCCTAAAATTATTTTCTATAATACTTGTTTTCTTCTTTTAAAAGCTGGGGGCTCTCTTCCCTATAGCATCCAGACAGCTGAAAAACAGAATTGGCTCCATTCCTATTTTCAGTAAGTAATTGGTTTAGAATGCTGCTATTGCTTCTTTAGGAATAAGAATGTTATTTATGTCAGTCTGTTCTTTTAAAAAAGAACCTTACATAATACAGCTGTATTTTTTCATCGACATATGTTAGTGATGGAAATAACTTAAAACAAGGTTTTGAACATTATTTGAAATAGGTTTTTAATACCAAAGAATGAAACTGATCTGTGAGGTTTGTATTTAAATATTGGCACTCAAAGAAAAAAAATAAGGATGATGATGGATAACTTAGAATTTATGTAAGCAGCATTTTTAAAAAATGTTATTTGAGTATAATTGACACACAGGAGTGCATTAGTTTCAGGTGTACGGCATAGTGATTCAGCCGCATTTAGCTCCTATTTCCAGATTATGGTTCTTCTGTCTGCACATGAACACCCTGCGTGACTGCGGGCTTGCTGAGGGCCGACTCCACAGCACTCTTTCTCCAGGGCATGGGCTCAGACTTGGTTTGTTTTAAGGGTTCAGTAAATGGTTGAATGAACAGGGGAAAGGATTGTCATTTGCCCTCCTCTTGTTCCACTATGCGTACTGCATGTTCTAGACCATCGCACTTTCCTGCTGGCTCCAGGCATTTATTACACCTGATGGCTGGAAACAAAGGCGGGTTGCATCTCAGTAGCTTGCAGGCTAATTCAGTGTGTCTTTGAGGATCCGTTGGGAGATTATTCCCTACAGAGATTATTTCTTTATACTGAGCTCCTTTCGCAGGTCATTCAAGTGACTTTAATGATCGAGGGGATGGTCTACCTAACCCTAACTTTGGTCTCAGCCTCTTCCCTTTGCAAGCAAGGATGGCTGCCTCATGATGTAGGTCCTTTTTTCCTATAGAACTCAGTCCTGCAGTACTGGCAAGTAAATGTCAGCCTTGGACTGAAGTGTTTCTGAATGATCCCCCCCCCCTTTTTTTAAAGATTTTTATTTACTTGACATAGAGAACACAAACAGGTAGAGCAGCAAAGGGAGAGGGAGAAGTAGGCTCCCTGCTGAGCAGGGATTCCTGATGCAGGGCTTGATCCCAGGACCCTGAGATCATGACCTGAACTGAAGGCAGGTGCTTAACCAACACTGAGCCACCCAGGCACCCCATCCTCCTGCTTTTCAACATTGTTTTAATGTTCATCCTGTTGGCATTTTTCCCATTTTGTACTTACTTTGAACAAACTTTTCCTGAGCCCATACTTGGTAATACACTGTGGGAGCCTGATTCCTCCTCTTAAGGAGCTCATAGTCCATGTAGGAGACAAGACCTGCAAACGTGCAGTTGAAAGCACAACAGAAGTAATACACATGAGTATATACATGTCTCATTGGCAAAAAAAAAAAAAAAAAAGTGGGGGGGGAGGCTAAATACCAAAAGGCTACAGTGCTTTATTACCCTGCTCTCTAAACAGAGTTTAATAAAATACCAGCGGTCCCATCACAGAGCTGTGTACATACTATTTAGATGACAGGATTGTGCTTTCCATGAAGTTTCCTAATACTAGGATTTTGACAGATTTATATTTTCTTACTAGTAATGGGTCTTTCCTGTCGCTAGCAAATGGTCAGCTGACACATCTGGCCGCAGCAATGCTATGCCACATATTAAAACATATATGAGACCCTCTCCAGACTTCAGTCAAATTGCTTGGTTCCTTGTCACAAGGTAAGTAATCCTTATAGTCTTGATGGGAAGAACTTTTAAAATGTGTTTGTAACTCTTGTTCTGAATACCGAATGGGCTTCCAAAAAGTGGTTTTGTAAATTGTCGTCTAGTTTTCAAGTGTGTGTGTCTTCTGAGCCTTATTTAAGAGGCTTGTGACTTACCCCTTTCTAGTGCCTGTAATCATTGCCTGATTTTATGAGTCTTGATATTTATAAGGTTTGTATAAAGTCTGCATTTACTGTTGTTACTTAATATTCAATAGTAGGAATGAGGCAAGTTAACATTCAGGGTAAATACAGAACAAAAATGATACGGTAAAACTAGTATTCCTTAATTACTTTCTCTTAGGTAATTAATAATAATATAATATCTCTTAAGTATTTTTTTAAACATCTTTATTAAATAATTAACATATTTTAAGTTTCACCTCTTTAGTGTACAATATAATGATTTAGTTATATACTCTCAAGAATTGTGCAACGAACACTACGATTTCAGAATTTTCATTACTGCCTATAAGAAATGCCTTACCTACTAAGCATTCTTGTGTCTATAGCAAGGTATATTGCTATGCTCTTAGAAAAAGAGAACTGACTCCTAGTCTGACCCAACGCCATTAGGCATCTCTTAATGATTTAGTAACACAATTGATGTCATTAATAATAATTAAGGTATGACAGAGTAATTAATGAAAAAACTTTGAAACAAAAGTTTAAAAATACAAAGAAACTCTTAAAAAAGCCAGTTAGAAACAAAACCAAGTTCCTTCCCTAGCTTATGGAAATTAGTGGTTACACTTTTCACCTGCTCAGGATAAGGAACTGTGTGACATGAACAGTGTTAGGGGTATACATCAGATGCAAGAGTGGGCTTCTGCAAACTTTTTGAAGCACAGAAGTTTTTTCCATTACACTAAAAAGTGTAATGGAAAAACATACATTTGAGTACTGAAGATTTAAGGTGCTCTGTCATTTACTAGCTCTGTGAACTTGCAAAATGGACTTAATCTAAGTCTATTTCCTATTCTTTGGGAAAAGTGATGGCGGTCTTTTGGGGTTGTTGTGAGAGGTAAATGAGATGCTCAAGGCTCCATGCATCTGACATAACGGACTGGAGGCCATGATAGCTGGGATTATGCTAGTTGGGGCTTCACCATCAAGACTGAAGGATGGCCAGGGGAGTTGGTACACATTTCTTTGCCGTGTGTCTTTTATTTTTATTTTTTAAATTTTATTTATTTATTTATTTGACAGAGAGAGATCACAAGTAGACAGAGAGGCAGGCAGAGAGAGAGAGGGAAGCAGGCTCCCCGCTGAGTAGAGAGCCCAATGCGGGACTCGATCCCAGGACCCTGAGATCATGACCTGAGCCAAAGGCAGCGGCTTAACCCACTGAGCCACCCAGGCTCCTGCCGTGTGTCTTTTAAAGAGAAACTTTGGCTTCTTTTTTTTTTTTTTTTAAAGATCTCATTTATTTATTTGAGAGAGAGTGAGAGAGACCATGAGATGGAGAGAAGGTCAGAGGGAGAAGCAAACTCCCCATGGAGCTGGGAGCCCAGAGCCTGATGTGGGACTCGATCCTGGGACTCCAGGATCATGACCTGAGCCAAAGGCAGTTGCTTAACCAACTGAGCCACCCAGGCACCCGAGAAACTTTGGCTTCTGAAGGAGGTTTCTTGGATGTGAATACCTGAATTAGATATTTCCTGGGTAGAGAAGGCATTGCCTGAGACAGATAGGTAGTGCCAGGGAGAACAGAGACCTCTAAAATGTATGTGGCCTGACATTGGGCAAGTTCAATCCCTAGTTGCCTTGGTAAGTATGAGATTGTTGTTAGTCCCTCTCCCAATTTTATTTTAACACACTTAAAGCTAAATTATTTAAATATCCTGACTTAGTGATGAGAAATTATCAATATGCTACCCAGCCTTCTACAGAGCTAACCAATAAGTGCATAAATTGGAGTATATTATGGACCCTTGAACGTAATCCAAAGGAACTGATTTTCAGAGACTACATTTCAGTGTCAGCTCACCTGTTCAATAATTGTCTGTTAAGCCAAGTTATTGAGTAAAACAGAAACCATGTTACTAAGGGGCAGTATTAAAAGCCTGGCTTTTGAATTGCATCTTCCCCATCCTGATGCTGTGTGTGATGGTCACTTCCTGCATACCCTGATGATGAGTCAGTAAAACTAGGTGAATTATCTACCTGCTTGTAATTCTGAAATGCTACCACTGGGAATAGTTGAGTAATAGGCCATCATTCACCCCATGGGCTAAATGTTGTGTTTGTTTATTTACATGACCATTCTTTTGCTTTGTGTTGAATACCTTGAATTAGGTATTTTTCTCAATCTGGTCTGACAGAATTCTCTGACAGTGTGGGTCATGTTTTAGGGCTCTACCCCTTATATATTCATTTTTTTTTGTATGAGTCAAGGTTCTTCCTGCAATCATGCTACTTTGCATGAAGGCTGGATTGAACTTGAAGGCTATACTTCCAACTTTGAGAAAAATCAGATAGGATTTTAACCAATGTAGGAAAAGCCATGTGGAGAAATATATCAGTTATTTGGTAAAAGTGGTCTTATCTAGCATCATGTTATCCTGCTGGGAAAACTGTTCCCTAGAGAAATGTTGCCGTGAGTCTCTTTATACGTCACTGGAAAAGTTGAATTTACTGTTTATTTGGGGATTGTTTTCCTCAGGGTGGAGTTAAAAGATGGACGTACTTCACTAAAGTTGGGTATTTATTGATCCTATTTTAAGGGCATAAAATGAGGTTGAGATTAAAACTGAGTAATCCTTGTCTAAAGACAGAGTTTTTGTAGTTGAGTATAACGACAACATTTGTTCAGCTCTGGGAATCCAGAACAAGAAATGACCCCATGCCATGCAGAGGCTGCAGGAAGAGATGGGACCCTGTCCGTTAGTTGCTTACCTGTGTCAGGATCTGATGAAAGCAGAAATGTATTATCTGGTTGGGGGTGGGGTTGGGGTGGGTCAGAGACCTGCTAAAGTTAAGACAGTGGTATCGCAAGTAGGGCTGGAAGTACGCCGCAGAGGCCACGGAGCTGGAAAAGTACATGGGGTTTTCAGGGAACATCTGAGTGAAGCTGCAACTAGATGAGAGAAAAAAGATTCACGTAGCTTCAGAATGGATTTTCTCAAGCCAGGGCACCCTGTGTTCTTAAGTCCAGAAAGTGTCCACTGTCTATTCACTTCGTATCTGCTGTTTTGTATTCTGTGAATAACTGCTTATTCATTACTAAATTCTGACTCAGAAGTTAATTTGTTAAGAATTTGAAGTTTGTCATGGATTTGTGGCTTCTAATTTCATTCTGGAATACCTAGGCTGAAAACTATCAACTTACCAAAGTATACAAAAAATTAAAACAATTACTTGGCAATTTCAATATACCAGACACTGTTCTAAGTGCTTTTGTGTTCATTTAGTTTTCACAGCTGTTCCATGAGGACTTGGAGAATGGTTAAGTAGGCTGCCCATAGGCAAACAGTAGTAAGTTATGGAAGCAGGATTTGAACCCAAGGAATTTGACTTCACAGCTGGTGCTCTTCACTTCGGCTTTCTAATGCCACTCTTAACAGCTATTTTCTGTGTATACCTATTTTCTGTGAAGACAAGTCAAAAGAAACTGCATCACTTTACTTTGTGATATGAAAAAAAACAAACAAACCCACATAGCATCCCAGTACTGAAGTATGTCTGACCTAACTGAAGTAATAATTTAGAAAATACTTAGAGCCCATTCTCAGCCCTTCTACGATAAGGAAAGCTGTAGATCCAAAATAAAAGAGACATCTACCAGGAACTCCATTTTGTTTCTTGGTTTGCTACCTTCTCTCCAAGTCAGAACATCCCAAACTGAGCTCTCTTTTTTTTTTTTTTTTTTTTTTTTTTTTTAAGATTTTATTTATTTACTTGACAGACGGAGATCACAAGTAGGCTCTGCAGGCAGAGAGAGAGGAGGAAGCAGGCTCCCTGCTGAGCAGAGAGTCCGATGCGGGGCTCGATCCCAGGACTCTGGGATCATGACCTGAGCCGAAGGCAGAGGCTTGAACCCACTGAGCCACCCAGGTGCCCCAAACTGAGCTCTTATGTAGAAGGATATTTCCTTCCTAACATCTATCTTGGCCCTGGTGGCACCTGCCCCCTCTTTTATCCTCAGGCTTACAGCCCAGCCATCCTCTTGCTATTCCTTCCTTTGCACATTCTACAGCATTTACTGCAGTCCTTCCTCTTGTGAATGCGGGGCACTCGGGATAAAAACATAAGCATCAGGACACCTGGGTGGCTCTGTCATTTAAGCGCCTGCCTTCAGCTCACGCGTCATGATCCCAGAGTCCTGGGCTCAAGTCTTATATTGGGCTCCTTGCTCGGCTGGGAGCTTGCTTCTCCCTCTGCCTGCCTCTCCCCATCCTTGTGTGCATGTGCGTGCATGCAGTTGCTGACAAATAGTATCTTTTTAAAAAAATAATAAAAAATAAGTTTCTTAAAGGCACTACTTAAATCTTATGTTCGATGTTAGAAGCCAGGCACAGAAGTAATTAAAATAGGAAGGGAGCAATTCTGTGCTTGAGTTGGGCATGTGGATGCTTTGGAGGATAATCAAAGCCTGTTCATCCTTAAAGTGTCTCAGACGTTACTTTTCTGATAAATGAAATTACCGAGTCAGGTACTGCCTGGACTTGGGACGTGATTGCCTATCTGCCATCCCATCACTCAAATGGTCCACTTCTCAGGCCACCTTTCCTTTCCTAGTTGTTGATGCCCATTCACCTTTCAGAAGCATGAATTTTTCTCACTGTCCCATGTTCAGGTTCCCCCCACTTCCTGTGTACTAGTGTCTGGAGATCTCCTTGGAGTTGTGACCCTAACCATACCATTTCCTCCTTTCTTATCCTGTGTTCTCCAACATGAACTACCAGAAGCAACTTCCTGTGCCCCAGTAATCACCCTGCCAGCAGCCCTCTCCTG